CATGAGAATTATCTTATATATATAAAAATGTATGAGACTCATATAAAGAGAAGAGAAAAAATAAAACATAAATCATGCATACTTTTATATATATATACAAGATAATTTTATTTTCGACAATATGATACGAGAGACATTAAATAATAATAATAATAATAATAGATTGTCGATTCGCAAGTGAATTTAATTTTTTTTTGTACACAAATAAATTAATAAATGTCAGAATTTTTTAAAGAAAGTAGTGTCGTACCATGCAGAAGGGACAATGTCGTTTTCAGCAGAATGAGCACGGACCACGCAGAAAGCAGAGGTTTGTGTCGGGTAATTTATGGTTCCACGCGTACCAAGTACAGATTCGTTCTGGTCAGTGGATCAAATCTGTCAGAATATAAAACCGTCGACCCACTGTGCTGTGGGAAAGTGTGTTGTACGCGCATATGAAGAGTGGATCGTTTCCATAACACGCTTCTCTGCGCGTGATTCTCAGACAGCTGAACCAGGATCAGTAGCCTAGAGTGGCGAGAGGTAACCTTGGCGGTTTTTACCGTTTGGTGTACCAGAAGATCACATGAACCATTATGGACGCTAGCAGAAGCTCGAGGTTGTTGTACTTTCCTAGATTATTTCCGTTTCATTCATCATCAACGTCAGTTAGCTGAATTGGTAAAATCAAACAACATCAATTAAAAAGAAAATTAAATTTGAATCTTATTGTTATTAATGATCTTTTATTGCAAAAACATAGGTCCATCTCTAGATGTATAATTTTATTTGAGCTTGTTACAAATTATCACTTTTGATTCTTCACACGGTAGATGTAAACTCCTAATAACGTTTGTAACAAGTTATAGCTTTTGAAAAAGATAATTTGTAACAAGGTAGAAAAATCTAACATAATCTTCGTTGTTTTCAAAAATAAAAAAGAGATAATTTGTATCCCTCGGTCATGCTGATAAAATTCAAAGTTCAATCTCAATCTCAATCTCAAGTTCATTCGATCAATCATCCATCTTGATCAAATGGGGAGAGAGAGAACACTTTGCATTTTTGCTATACTTTAAATCTAACTCCATGAAACAGGGGCTCTATTGTATCTTCAGGCCTGCTATAACTATATCAACATTAAATAAAATATACGTGGAAATCTATGCGATACTTCTTTATTGCATTTTATTATTTTACGAGGAATTCTCGCTATTATATTTCATCGAACACATTATAATTATCAAATGATATAGCTATACAAATATATGTCGCTTTGGTACGTGCAAATTTCAAGTCTGAAAAATGCAAAAAAGTGACACAGGTTGCTACAATAAATATGTCAGAATGTGCATGCATGATCACGATGGTACTTCTGTACTTAGTCGTGGTCATGATCACGAATGTGTCATCAAACCCATAGTTAATTGATGTTATGATGTCAATTAGTAGAAGACGTATCAAAGCCTGCAAAATCGAAACCTACCACACATAAATATCTTTGCTTATTATTAAATTGTTTATGTCTTCTGTCATTCCGTTTATTTTTTAAAATTTTTGTATTTATTAATTATTCTTAAGTGATGTTTATATCATCACATCAATTAGTCAGATAATTAAATATATATTTTTGAATGTATTATCTTAAGCATGCTTTTTTTTTCAATTATATTTTATTTGACGAGTGTGTTCTTTTATATATATATATATATATATATATATATATATATATATATATAGGGTTCATCTAATCTCATGTTACATGAGAGATGATATCTTATGTTATAGAGACATATGTGGTGGGGCCCATTATCTAAAAAAAGATAAAAGAATGTCACGATTTTCGATGGGTCTATAGGAGATAAACTACTCTTATGTTGCATAAGAGTAGTTTTTCCCATATATATATATATATATATATATGAGGGGTCAGGATCATTTTACACCAGTGTAAGTTACACTCTCAATCTTGTCCACTGATCCCACTTATATCTAAGGGCTCAAATTTTTTAGTAACGTGAGCCATTGGATACAAGTGGATCAATGGTCAAGATTGAATGTAAGACTTCTAACTCTTACACCGGTGTAAGAATATCTTGCCCCATATATGAGTTTGGTGTTTATCATTTTAAATGACATAAGTTATATCATCTTAAAAGAGAGATAGACATAGAAAATAAAAATCATGGGAGTGAGAAAATGTGTTATTTTTTTAATTTAAATTTTAAATAAAAAAAATATTTCGTGTCTATCTCTCTCTTAAATATATATATATATATATATATATATAGACACACACGAGTTCATTGAATGTTAATTATTTGACGAGTGTGTTTGTATCAAACGTTTGACGTACTTTTTTTTTAATTTCATTTTCAATGTTCTTAGGATATTGTCAGATAAAATAAAAATTTATAAGATCGAAGCTCGTTCAACACTCAATTCAAGTCATGCGTATATCGTATTAATTATTTGTGTTTTTTTTCTCTCTGTTTTGGATTCATAATTATTTGTGTTCTTTCTTCTTGGCATCTTATCTGAATAATTTATAACGACTAATTAATTACTTCACATTTCTCGCCCAACAGAAAGCGTGGACTTAACCTCCAAAAAAAAAAAAAAAAGCGTGGACTTGACATTTTAAAATCATATAACTCTTCAACAAAAAAATAAAATAAAAATCATATGACAATACGGAACAAAGAACTTAGGCATATTTAACCATTTCATTAAATAATTAATGCATGTTGCCTATTCGTTAGTAAATGAGTTTGAAGAGTTATATGATTTTATCTGACAATGCAGATCTGCCAAATCGTTTAAGTTACAGAAACTACGACAAAAAAATAAATAAAAAATCTTGCGGTGATGAGGATTGGCATAATTGCAAGCATGCTTTCGAGATGTCTTTGCATTGCTTAAAATTTTAAGCCTATGAAAAATCACTTGCAGAGAAGAATAATCTCAACTTGTCGTGTTTTTTAATAATTTATATTTTGGTAAGTTTCATCCAATGTTATTAAATTTGAACCGGTGATTAACTTGGTCGGATAATGAATTAGTGAGTCATCTGTTTGATTAGTAAAACAGTGGTTGAACCAGTTAAATTAAATGTATATAAAATTTGCAAGCATTACAACGACAAACATAATTGGTAGTTTCAAACATTATGTTCTAGGTTTGACTCCCAACCGCAACATTTTTCAAGTATTATTCAAAAATCTCATAAAGGAATGAAGGAGAAAAATCTATACATGGAAATGAAAATATTTTACGAAATTAAATATTCATTGGTTGGATTAATTTTTGTTTAACACAATAAATACCAAATTAGTCTATTTGTATGCTACAACAGATCTCAAAATGTTTCATTTGGATAAAAAAATAAAAAAATCCAAAAGGGTCCACGTCTACATTTCTCCATGTTCTCGTGAAGCACTGTCTTATAAGGGTTGTAATTTGTCCCCACAAAATAATGATATGCAAAATAATAATAAAAAACTGAATCGAACTGAATTGTACTTAAAATAATTGATTTTTAAAAATTAGTTCATGAATTGAATCAGTTTTTAAATAATCAGTTTATGAACCGAACCAGTTTTTAGAATTCGTTCATGAACCAATCCGATTTTTAGAACCCGTTTAACAACCGAACCAAACTGATTTTCATTACTTTATTTTTTAATTTTTGTTAATTTTTTTTTTTCAAAATATGATCGACTCGAACCGATTTCGAATCGAATCGAACCGAACCAAACCGTTTTCAACCGAATCGAATCAGTTTTAAACCAAACCAAACCGAACCGAATTATTTTTGAACTGAATCTTTTAAACCAATTCGGTTCGATTTTTCAAAATATTCGGTTTGAGTTTTCAAAAAATTCGGTTCGGTTCAACCCATGCACACCGTGTTAGTCCCTCGTATGTTTTTTTTTTTTTTTTTATCAATATTTAATTTTGTCAAATTTGGTCACGTCTGGTAGATTATGCGTTACGCTAGGTTGTTGCTATTCAATTCGTTTCTAGCTAAGAGGCATAACGAAGCTGCACATAAGTGTAGGTTAGACGTTGTAGACAAAATGGACAAAAGAGAAGGATTATGTGATAGGGGTTTCGGGTCCTCCTCTTGTTGTGCATAACCTTTCTCATGTTTTACGATATATTCTCATTTTTTAGTTTTGCTCCCGGATCAACAGAACCATATTTCTAAGGCCACGAAGGCAAAACCATCTACTGAACCAAGCATCGTTTGATATCTCTGACTGGGCCTTTTCTTTTCTCCTCTCAAGGAGGATTACAAAAAGGGGCTATTTAAGGCTTGGGTTTCCTACTTGCCTTAGAAACTAGGTCGACTTGGATATATGGCTATTTGTGGGCTTCGCTAGCCCAGAGTTTGCAATGACCAAAAGGATTAGATCATAGATGAGGATAACCCGTCAAATCCTAATTTGAACGTCCAATCCAAGTGCAACCACCATAATGATAATAAAATAGACCACAAACAAAATGACCTTATATATACTGTTAACAAAAAATGAGACATCATACTTTTATGGTACTAAAAATAAAATAAAAATTATGTCAACTATTATAATTATATATTTTAAAAATATATAATTATAATATTAAAATTCTTTTTTTCTCTCTTTATAAATTGTTAACTGATGTAAAAAGAAAAAAAATTAATTTTAATATTATAATTATATACTTGTCAAATTAAATAGTTATAATAGATTATACTACAAAAGATTTTTATGAGAAAAAAGTGACCCATAAAATATTCATAGTAAATCCATCTTAGTCAATTTGATTTCATCGAAATGCCATTTTCTATAACATCCAAACAAACAAAGCCTGTAAGACTGCATGTCCAATAATAACAATAAAAAAATTAACGGATGCAAACGAACGAACAAGTTGTTTGTCTGAGCTGAAAAAGTGGGAAGTATTGGGAGAATGTGTTTGATTCATGAAATGACAATGACGATGATGAATATCTCTTACAAGTGAGTATAGTCCACACAGCTTTCAAATCCTTGCCCTCCTACTGTTTGATGAATGATCAACACCGACAATGCCAATGGGATGCTTCTCCCTCACTCCATATGCTTCTGCTTCATGCTCTCACTTTCTCTCTCCTCGGAGTCTCATTCTCCTCACTCACTCTCACTCTCACTCTGATTCTCAATGTGGAGTTTCTCTGAGCAAAAGGGTCTCAAAGCAGCACAAGAGCAGCTCCATTGTTCATTCAAAAACCAAGACTTTCGCTATTGGGAATGAGACTGAGACTGCGGTGGTTGAGAAGCCCCAATTGGGTGGTCGCTTCCAAGTTTTCAGGGGCTATCCCACTCCCTTTGGTGCCACCGCTCGAGACGGTGGGGTTAATTTCGCCATTTATTCTCTCAATGCACACTCCGCCACTCTCTGTTTGATTACTCTCTCTGATTTTCACGATGTGAGTGACTTCTTCATTATTCTCTTCTCATTTTTTTTATTTTTTTTTTATTTTTTTGCACTGCTAACTCAATTTTACAGATTATCCACTTATTTTGTGGGTCTTAATAATTTCAGTTTATTTGTTGCAGAATCAAGTGACAGAGTATATTCCTCTTGATCCATTAATTAATAAGACTGGAGGTGTATGGCATGTATTCCTAAAAGGAGATTTTAGAGATATGCTGTATGGATACAAATTTGATGGCAAGTTTTCTCCTGAAGAGGGACACTATTATGATTCTTCTCGTATACTGCTGGACCCTTATGCAAAAGTTAGTGGCTCTGCACCTTTCTTCTCCCTTTATTATTTATATATAAATCTGAACACTAGTGAATTATTAAATTGCAGTGGACCCTAATAATATACTACTCATTTGTCTAGGCAGTTATTAGCAGAGGAGAGTTTGGGGCTTTAGGACCTGATGGTAACTGCTGGCCTCAGATGGCTGGAATGGTACCTTCCGATGATGATGAGGTACTTTATTTATTTTATGGTTGTTTACTCAAACTTTTGAAAAAAATTATATTTCACTTTTATTCTTGCTATGAAACTTGTTTAGTTTGACTGGGAAGGAGACTTGCCTCTGAAGTATCCGCAGAAGGATCTTGTTATATATGAAATACATGTGCGAGGGTTCACAAAGCATGAGTCAAGCAAGACCAAGTTCCCTGGTACATATCTTGGTGTAGTGGAGAAGCTTGACCACTTAAAGGTGAAGTTTATGATCATTTTCTAAAATAATTTAAAGAGTTCATTGGGACATTTCTACCAATTGCTATTATGTGAAAACAGTCCAATACTTTGTTAACTTCTTTGGTGAAAAAAATTGTTGATTTCTATATATTTTACTGTGTGGATTGAAAAAGAAATTCATTGAAAGGGGATAATTATTTTACATAGAAGAATATAATATAATGTGCCCTCTAAAAAGAAGTAATATTAAATCAAATAATGGTGCCCACCAATCCGTCATTTTATCTGTATGAAGGATACCCATGACAAAAAACCTTGAACCAAATGTCAAAGTGAAGCCGTAACGACCGTATTGATAATTTGATGCTGTAGAAGGTATAGGGTAAAATATGAATCTAAAAAATTCTAGCATCTCTTTCACAGCATTAACATTAAAACATCAAATGGATTGTACACTTCTGAATCTAACTGTATTGAGATCCTCAATAGTAAAAGGAAAGATCCGTCTGTTTTCATTTAAGCCAGAGGAAAAGGCATATCATTTTTTCCAGAGAGACATCACAGTGTGTGATAGTAAATGAATTTGGTTATGGAGTCAGGAGGAGACTTTGGGCTGAGTCATACTGTCATCAAGATGTTTGAATGATTTGGTCTCCTAGCCTTTGTGCCTTATGTTATTGTTAGATTAAAAATTATCCCATACCATAAATTTAAGGTCGTAGAATTTTTTATCATCCACACAATTCTTCAATTCTGTTGGATCTAGAATATTTATTTTTCATAACATGGGATTGCATTATTTGTTTTACCACTGTATTATATTACTGCATAAAGCAGATATGAATGCATAAACATTTAGTTAATCCATAATTAAACTTCATTTGGCATTATCCATTTTGCAGGAACTTGGAGTAAATTGTTTAGAATTAATGCCATGTCATGAGTTCAACGAGCTGGAATACTTCAGTTACAATGCTGTACAAGGGGACTATAAGTAAGAGGATCATTTGCTGATAAAATCATTATCATTTTTATTATGGACTTCTGGTTACATTGGAATCTTCAAGTCTGCTGCTAGTCATAGTATGCCCTTTATTAGAATCTTTGAGATAGTTTTTTCACCCTTCATGCCTTGCATCCTGCAAAGTACTATGTCATAATCTTACTTCCAATCTTATAGCTTAATTTAATCAACTCATGATCTCATTCGATGGTATTCTACATCTGTGGCTCTATACAGTTCTTATTTTGACTTCTCTTTAATTTTATTTTCCAGCATATGATATTGCTGTATCTTTTTCTTTTAGGGTCAATTTTTGGGGGTATTCAACTGTCAATTACTTTTCGCCAATGATCAGATACTCATCTGCCGGTTTGCAAAATTGTGGCCGTGATGGGATTAATGAAATTAAGTTCCTGATCAAGGAAGCGCACAAAAGAGGAATAGAGGTGACCAGGATAACATATGATTTCATTTTGTCAATTGTCTTTTGTTTCTTCTCTTAATTTTTTTTAAGAAAATTAATTTATCTTTTTAATTCTATATTACTGGAGCAGGTTATCATGGATGTTGTTTTCAATCATACAGCTGAAGGAAATGAGAATGGTCCCATTATTTCTTTCAGAGGTGTTGACAACAGTATCTATTACATGGTAGCACCCAAGGTATACCTCAATATTTTTGCTCTCGGTTTAAGGTAGTTGGTTGGAAATTTTGAAGCCTTGAAGGAACTCAAATCTTAAAGAAAAAGGTTTGTAAAATTATAATAAAGGAATTCTTGATAAAAGTATTTCCAGTTTAAGAATAATTAACTACTAAACTAATTAATAGTGATTAGTCTGTAACCACCTATTCACTTGATTAACTGTTCCTAAACTGGAAATATTCACCAAAACTTTCTGTTTTGTAATTTTCCAAATTTTTTTACGATATGTATCATTTATCAAAAATTACTTATATTTAATAGATAAGAAATCATTTAAAGAATGAAGTTTTGTATTTCTTCATTATAGTTTCTTGTTTGTTTACTCTCATTTATTTGAGTGAGAGCAGAAGTTATGCTTTAGGAGTGTGATATCCTGACGTGGGAGTTTTTTTCTCATTTATTGATTAGACATTCTGCTTCCAGATCGGAAAAGTGGGGTCAACACATTAAGCATACAGGAGTAATAGGACCCTACAAGATACCAAATTCCAAACTTCAATTAAAAAAGAAAGTTATCAGAGAATGCTGCCTAAATCCAATATTTTCTTTCTCTGTCAAGTTAGTAATTTCAGCTTTCCAGCATGACAACAACTCAGGATCAGTATTAGGTATCATCATCCAGTGAACCAGAAGTGTTTGCCCACTGACATAAATAAAACATCTATTTAATCTGCATCTTAAATTCTTAAGGTTTGTAGTAGTTGTGCAGATTGGGTTTTTATGGCTCTATGACTATTCAAATTTATTTAAACTTGTACGTTTTGTTACTCTTGAGTTGAATCATGGATAATGTCAACGAGACCAACTTTCATGTTCTTTAGGGGGAGTTCTATAACTACTCAGGATGTGGAAACACATTCAATTGCAACCATCCAGTTGTACGACAATTTATAGTGGACTGCTTAAGGTATGCTTAACATTTATCAGTGATATGGTTTTATGAATTTATTTCTCATGTATTTCTTAAAACATTATTTCAAACTTATTTTTCGATATTATCCCTCTCAATTCTTAATTAAAATTTTTTCTACCCATTTATTAGAAGATTGTTGATGTTTGTGTCTATATGGGCATTGACATGCTTGTATACATAGCCAAACCGCAGACATACATGCATGTTTATATCATAAATTTCAGATGTAGTGGTGCATGTGAGACAGTTACTTTAAGCCATCAGAGAATATATAACATCTAGCTCCCAGATTTTTAGATAAGTTCCGAGCCTCCTGTCACGCAACTAGCATATCACTTCTAACATAATTTACCTTAACAATGCTATGCCTTACAATTCCTTTATAATTATAATGTATATTCTTGCAGTTTATTGCACTCTGGCCTGATTTGTTTCAGTTAGTACTTACTAGGCAATTAAAAGTTGCTACCATATTGAATAGAATGTCTTACTCTCTTTTCTCATGGAACAGATATTGGGTAATAGAAATGCATGTGGATGGTTTTCGCTTCGATCTTGCTTCAATTATGACCAGGGCTAGCAGGTTATATACCATGTAGTGTACTGTTACTGAAAATTTGCTGGAGACATATGCATACTGTTCTTATTATCCTTTCCTTATTTGTCATCAGTCTCTGGGATAGAGTTAATGTCTTTGGTGCTCCAATAGAAGGTGAATTGCTGACTACTGGGACCTCTCTAGGCAGCCCCCCATTGATTGACTTGATCAGTAACGATCCAGTACTTCGGGGAGTGAAGGTTTTTAAACTTACATTATTGTTTTAAATCTTAGAAGCTTGATTTGTTTCCAGTTTGAGAACATAGATGGTAGTATCCTTAAACAGATAGTTCCACACTTTCTAATCGTTTTAAAAGTATATTGAAATAACTTTTGGAATGAAGGAATCTCGTTTATTATAATTTTCATGAAATAAGCAGATATCAACAATATGATAGTGCAAACTTCGGTGTAATCTTCTGTGGTTAGCTAGATTGTACATATAAATCTGTCTACAATGGTTTGTCTGGCAGATAAAGGAGTTTAGTGTAAAGCATATGGCTTAAGTTTTCTGCTGATATATAATTGAGGCTAGATTTTGTGGTTTGATCTTCGCTTGCAACTTGCAAGGTTAGAGTGGCTAGATTGTTTTGAGTATTCCCTTATCAAGAAAGAGTGATGAATACTGACATTTCTGTTGAAAGAAATTAATGGAATGAAAGATTGGTGTGTATGAGCTAACTGGTCATTTTGTGCGAATAATATAAAATGTTTTCAGTGAAACAATGAAAAGAGTTGCCATTATTAAGGGGCAGTGGACAATACAAGGAATAAGGATGACTTGAGAGAAAAGAAATATGGGAAAAAGCAGAATCATTACATTTCTGAAAGAATTTCATAAAGTACCCCCAAACACTTGGTAAGAATTTTTTTAAAAACAATTTAATTTCAATAGTTGCTTAAAGATTCCATTGATCTAAACAGATCTATATAGCTATTTAAATAATTTAAAAATATGGGCTAAACTGGGTCATGGAAATTATTTAGGTGATAGAGCTGTTATTTGCAATAGGCACTTACTGTTCTTGGCTATTACCTTACCTCTCATTTGGAACTTGGATAGCCACGAGTAAAAGATTCCGTTGATCTAAAATGATGTGTGTGGCTGATTAAATAATTTAAAAAAATGGGCTATACTAGTTCATATAAGTTATTTAGGTGATAGAGCTGTTATTTTACAATAGCCACTTACTGTTAGTAGCTATAACCTTATCTCACCTTTAGAACTTGAATAGTCACAAGTAAAGGTGGCTTTTTAAGGTAGTATTTCTTTCTAGGTTTTGTGGTTTACTCTCTTATCTCACCTAGATCGAGTGCCTAATGCAATGAGCTCATTTGCAAAGTTTCTTAATTTCTTCTTTATAGCTTATAGCTGAAGCCTGGGATGCTGGAGGCCTCTACCAAGTTGGCACTTTCCCTCACTGGGGTATTTGGTCAGAATGGAATGGGAAGGTCAGTGCAGATATATAACTGTTGCATTCATACCCATTAATTATGCTGTGACTGGGAAATAAGAGGATGTGGCATCACAGCTTGACATGGAACTCACAAGTGTGTTTTAGAAAAGAGAACTTAATAACACAACATTGAAATATGATAATTGCATAAGTTTTAAATGGTCATATCATATATGTCCTGACTAATCTTGTACCTGATTAAGTCAAATTGTAAGAATAATTGCTGCAGGTTTCATTTTTATCAAAAGTAACATTGTTTTTAATTAGATGAACTTGTGTACACCAGAATGCAGATATACTTTGCACATAATTTATATTTGTCTTAATTTTTTCTTCACTGTTGCTTTCTAGAATTGTAATTTATGATGGGATCTGCTATTTAATGAATGGATTACTGTAAACTACATGGCAATGTCATATTTTTCTTCGAATGTTCAATCTTGAAGAAAATTGTTGGACTATGGACTCGGCATAAAAGTAGTTAATTTGTATGACTAAACTAGACTGAATTTTCTCCTTTCCTAGACCAGTTTACAGTATGCTTAATTACTAGGAAAATTGTAGGAGTGGTCCTATCATATATACAAACTTAACCAGATCTTCTTGATTCTCTTTTTGCAAGCTAAAATGTTAAAAATTTAACCAAATGATTAGCTGTTGCATTACTCACCAATTTTCTATTAATACATGATCTACAAATTCTATATTATAACATGCATTTGTGACGATGTTTATGAACAATTTAATGTGCAATTATTACATTTTGCAGTACAGAGACAAAGTGCGCCAGTTTATCAAGGGTACAGATGGCTTTGCTGGAGCATTTGCTGAATGCCTTTGTGGGAGTCCTAATTTATATCAGGTTTATCTGTAGTCTCTTGTGAAAATACAATTGTAGTTCCTTTTGGATATAAAATCCCACATATATTCTTATAGTTGCTAATTGCTATCATTATCATTGTCGTAATCGTAATCATTTTTCCTGTTGTTCATTTCAAAATTATACATTAAACATCCTATTTGGCTGTCTTCAAACTTCCTCAATTTATTTTATTCTCAGGGAATTAGTATTTATTCAACTAAATTTTAAGGGAAATATTTTTCTCATGTTACATGAGAAAACTTATCTCATGTTACACACTCTTCGAAATCCGAGCCAACATTTTTTTTTTCTTTTTTTTTTTTAGTTGTAAGACCCAACTAATTATGTCTCTACATAAGACAATGCTATCTCATGTTACATGAGAAAAGCATTGCCCAAATTTTAAAGCTTAAGGTCTTCTGTTGCTATTTTCTTTTCTTCTACTTTGTGCTTTTATGTGGTGGACATTACTCTATATCTTTGGTACAGGGAGGAGGAAGAAAACCATGGAATAGTATTAACTTTATATGTGCTCATGATGGCTTCACTCTAGCTGATTTGGTGACCTATAACAACAAGCATAACTTGGCAAATGGAGAAGACAATAATGATGGAGAAAATCATAATAATAGCTGGAACTGTGGACAGGTAAATGTTTAGAAACCTGCTTCAGAGTTGTATTTAAAGTAATTATTCCTTCTACTTTTCTTTCTGCTGCAAGGTGGTAGGTCATCGCAAGATTATTTCTCCAACTTCAATATCATAAATATTACCATGTTCATGGCATTATCTAAACCCCAATATGTCTGTGGTTATTAATCAGATATAATAGATTCGTGTAGATGATAATATGTAAGTCCAAATTGTTCACAAGAAATGAATAAAAAGACTTTATGATGCCAAGAGAATATTTTTGTTGTAAGTTAGCCAGCAAGTTCATACTCAGTAATACAAACTTGTTTAGTTTGTTCGCTTCATTATGTCTTAGTAAGAATCCTCCTCCAAATTTTTTCATATTTCTTCTTTCCTCTTTCTCCCTCACTTGGATTTATCATGTGAATTAGGCCTTTAAGCTGTGTTAAGACAAAGAATTCTGACTTTTGATCCATCATCATATTTTTTGTATGATTCAGGGTGAGTGAATTTGCTATTATGAAGAGATGTCTGCTTCCAAGAAAAGTGTAATTTTCGATTGTACTCCAGGCATTAGCTAATATATATGCACCTCGTATTCTGCTAGTCTTGTCCTAATCAAAGTTATCAAATGCGGATTGCAGCATGTTGCGTCCAATCCCGAAAAACGCTATAGCGGGTTGCAGTTGCGGAAATAACGGAATAGATATATGACAGAAATAATGACAAAAAGAAACATTTTTCGAAGGCAAAGATAGCAGAAGTGAGAGAGAGAGATGCAAATAGACTAAAAAATCCTTAAAAATTTTCTGTTGCACATTTAAATTAGAAGAAAATTGACATTTTGCCTTATGATAGCAATATGGCCGCAAATGCGATTGCAATGGCCGCTATCGTTTTCCGGTGCGGCGCGTCGCGGTTTCTTGCGGCAAGGCACCGCAACGCCCATCTGGCGTGACTCGTGGCGCTATTGCGGCGCAATTAACTACTATGGTCCTAATTTATAATATTCTGGTGAACCCTCACTGGGGTTGAGTTTTCGTTCTATTTTCTCCTATTTGTGTGTCAGTTTGTGTGTATGTGTGTGCTAAAGCATCTGGGCTTAATTAATTACTCTTCATGGTGCCACATAGCACTTTCTGAATCCTTTAAATAGTGTTCTCGAAGCATTAGAATCTGAATCTATGTACATTAAATTTAAATGAGTTAATATGACCTTTGTATTAAATGTTAATTCCATTTCTCAAATTAATATAGGAGGGGGAGTTTGCCAGTGCCTCAGTGAAGAAATTGAGGCTACGACAAATGCGAAATTTCATTCTCTCTCTCACGGTTTCCCAGGTAAGGCCCGATTAACTGCACAGTTATAGTTCTTTTCCGAATGTGTTTGGATCATAAGGACTTCTTTATGTTACATATTAGCTAATAACAAGTTTTGCACCAAAAATGTTTTGTACATTTCTAGTTGTAGTTTTATTTTATGGGAATTACTTTCGTCGAAAACTGCCACAGTTTTCAACATGGACATGCCATGGATTTACAAGTAAGACTTTCAGTGCATGCTTTTAATTGTTGTTATGATGAGTGATTAAAGTCCTTGAAATCTCTGGCATAACACAACCAGAATATAGGCCTGTTGAAAATTTCTGAGTTTTTTTCATTGACTATTCATATGATCTAATGTACAAAGTATGACATTATGCCATAGCAATCTTCCCTTACCAAATTCATTTATCACATCAAGTTTCTTTAGTTGATTTTCTTTATATTCAAAATTTCATTTATATGTTAAATTGTTAATTCATAGATATTGTGAAAGGTCAATTCTTCTTAAAACTTAAGCTTTTAAGTGAACACATACATGGTTTTGTACCTCTGACACTGTGCAAGAGCCTTTTGTGCTTGGACGATACACAAGCTCACTATATTTGTGTTGAAATTGAACCTTTTCATTAGAAGAATGTAGGCAACAAGGACCAAACTCCTAACTACTTAGTCAAGGAGACTTGGATATCATGTCAAGGATGAACTTTCCTAAAAGTTTAAGCTATTAAATGAAGGCACATGAATGGGTTCTAATCTCTAACAGAAATTATTTTCCCCCATGTATTAATTTTTCGGGAATGAACAGTGTTAAAATGAAGTAGTATAATATTTATCATGGTGGTTATGCGTTTTCTGACTTCTGAAATCAGAAAAGATGAATGTTCTCAAAACCTCTCAGCATGAGTGATAAACTTCGAGGGCTGAGTATGTATTTTCTTCTGATCTTCACATATTATTTTAATTCAATATGAAGGTAATGAAGTAGAAGTATAAATTGACATGAAGGCAAACCAAACCTTGGGGAGGGGAAACAGAATTGAACAAGGAATGTCACCAATAAGCTGAAAATGCTTGGAGAAAAAAGTGGTGTGAAATTTTATGCAAAGGCTCATTAAGGGTACAGCGGAGTATTGTTGGCTACTTTTATTAATTATGTACTGTGGTGGTTAGTTGGATTTTTAACTGTAATGCCCAGGAGTTTGAAACAGTTTCTTGTGACTTTGATGAGGGAGACAGAGGAGCAACAAAAATCTGAAATTACTTTTAGTTTAATGTTATGCTGTCATTGCTGTGTTGGTGTTGTTGTTGAATGCATAAAATTATTATGAATTATTTGTAAATGTTGTTGACAGCACGAGTTCTGTTTACTGACTTTTAGTTTATATTATCAGGGAGTTCCGATGATATATATGGGTGATGAATACGGACACACAAAAGGGGGAAACAACAATACCTATTGTCACGATAACTATGTGACCCTCTTATCTACTGGAATCTTTCAATGCACATCCCACGATATTGTTCATTCTATTTACTTATCTTCAACCTTTTTGTCGCAGCTTAATTACTTTCAATGGGACAAAAAGGAAGAATCCTCATCAGAATTCTTCAGATTTTGCTGCCTTATGACTAAGTTCCGTCGGTAAGTACCTTTTGCTTTCTTGTCAGACTCTTGCATTTTCTCGTATTCTAACATTTTAATCCTGCAGGGAATGTGAATCACTGGGCTTAGATGACTTCCCTACATCAGAGAGGCTGCAGTGGCATGGTCATTTTCCTGGAATGCCAGATTGGTCTGAAACTAGCCGTTTTGTAGCTTTTACCATGGTACTATACTTCTGTTGCCCATATTCGATGCCATATGACAATCACACGTCTTAGGATCTATCTCTTATTATCGCACCTAAAATGTGGAATCAGGACATGTTTCCAGGAACCAAACATTGAGCTTATATGTTGGACAAAGCAGCTCTGCATCTGGCAACAGCAGAATGCCTTTCTTGAGATAATGCATGCCTAGCTAGGTTGAGGAATTGCCATTTTGGTGCTGCAGTAGTTAGGACAAGGAATATATAGTTAGAAGTCCCCTTGACATTATTATAAGATTGGCAGAATTCGAGAAAAGTTAGATCTCCTATGTTTGCTACATCTCCAGTTAAAAAAAAAAAAATGCATTTCATTTTCAGCCGGTTTTTGAAGGGTCAAATGTTTAACTGTGTTGAGCTGCTCCTGGACATAAACTATTACCCTTTCCATGCAAAACTGTCATGTTCAGATTAGCATCAGTAGAACTTTTGAGGACTTTTATCTTAAAAAGAATGTCAATCCTATACTTAAGTCCTTATGCTGTACTGAAGTTGCTAAGCTTCAAACTTACACCTGTCCTCTTACATCCTGTGTTTGGATACTCCATAAATGACTAATTTTTTTCCCTTTATTTGGCTTGAACATGAACCCAGGTTGACTCAGTGAAGGGAGAAATTTACATTGCTTTCAATACGAGTCATTTACCTTTCACAATCACCTTGCCAGAGCGTCCTGGATACAGATGGGAACCCCTCGTGGACACCAGCAAATCTGCGCCATATGATTTTCTCACTCTTGATCTTCCTGGAAGAGATATTGCAATACAGCAGTATGCTCAGTTTCTTGACGCCAATATGTATCCCATGCTTAGTTACTCTTCCATCATCCTCTTGCGTGCTCCAGATGAAAGTGCGTAGCTTGGAGAATCCTGCTGACTTGTAGACACAATACCTTGTTGTCAGCAATATGTATAATCCTGTCCCCTAGTATGGTGGCAACATGGGTGAATCGTTGGATCAGTAAACAAACCATAGAGAACTCATTGGAAAAATTTCCCTTCCCTTTACATAGGAAAGGAAACATTAAGGAGAAGAAAAAGAAGCAGTAATAGTGATGGATGAATGATGTGATGATGGAAAAGTGGACAAGTTGTAGTATTTGTATCAATTTAGATGTGATTCTGCTCTCTGTTTTGTAATACCTTTCTTGTGAGTGTGTGTGTGTGTGAGCGAGCGAGGCAAGGAAAGGAGCACTTGAGGGAAGATTTGGCCCTGCCCAGGTTTGAATCTGTGCATCTTCTGGTAAAGCTACCAACTGCCGGACATGTAAACAACATGTTGAAAGATTTCAAATATTTTCTCCGCCTTTCGCTGAAAATGGCGTGGTGGCTTCAATGTTAAGGTAGGTGAAAGAATTAGGGTTGGTTGAAGGTGATCAATGCACCATTAAGTATGTGGATCAAATTGGTAAGAAATTGTTCTAGCTTAATTATTTTATCTAGCTCAAATCGGACTAGTGGACTCGAAATATCATACTAGTGAAATAATTCATAAATCTATGGATAATATTAAAAAAAAAAAAACCTGATGAATGCAAAGAAGGAAAGATGGAAAGTGATCGGGAATTTGCTGAGCATTTATTAAAAAAAGTAAAGTAAATTAAGTTCGAACATAATTTCATGCATCAAAAACTTTAAAATATTCATTAATTTTCTTATAAATAATTAGAAGTTTTTTTTTTGGAAACAAGAAATTAGAAGTTTTTAATGCGGGTTTGATGTTTCTCCGGATATAAAATTATTTCTAATGAGACTGAAACGATGTCGTTTTAAAGTTGAAAGAAAATAATAAATAAAAATTAATCTAATCCTAGAATAAATTATAATTTAAAAAAAAAAATTCTCAACCTCAAAATGATATTATTTTGGCCAGATAAGTTATTTCATTAAACCCTTTTAATAATAAGTTTAAATGCTCCCTAATCAGAAAATTATTTTAAAATTGAAGTTTTAAACGCTTTGATAATTACATGCCTGTCTTTGGACAGAAGGTGGTAGGTGTGGACTGTGGACTTAATTTAGTGAGAATGAGTGTGCAATTACCTTTGGTCAAGAATCGAGACAAAATTCTCTTCAAAAAAGAAAAAAAGAATCGAGACATAATTTATTGACGGTGGATCCATTTATTAAAATTTTTAACTCTCACTGATATATTTTCAAAATTCACTTGGAGGAAATGTCACGAACAATGAAACAAAATAAAAAAACAATTGAGAGTAGGATTCTTGTTAGAAGTGGAGATAGGATAAAGTTAAATAGATTTTTCTCAAATAGGTAAAAGTTTGTTTTGCAAAATATTTCACCTTTTACTTATCATAAGCAAAAATAATAATTATAATAATTTAAGCTTAGAATATATTCAGAAAATTACATTACATGAAATCTTCTAAATAAATTAAAAGGCCTAAGCATTTTTTAATCTGATAATAAATATAACCTTTACTAATATGATTCTTTTAAATCTATAACTAAATAATAAATGAGTTTTAATATAGCAGCATTGGATTGAGATCAATATAGCAGGTAATGTGACTTATTTAGCTGGTAATTGGAATTCAATTTTTTTCTGTCAGTGTGGAAAATTTGGAACCGGAGGAATGAGGTTCGTCGTGGGGCTAATATCTTAGACTTTAATATAAGGGAAACTATTATTACCAATCTGGTTCGAGAGGTTGATCAAGTTTTTTTGTCACCTAATAATCATCAGTTGGGTAGGAGGTCTGCAGTTGTTAATATTACCTGGCAGTTCCCGGAACCTGGATTTGTAAAAATTAATACTGCTGGGGTTGCTAGAGGTAATCCGGGCCCAGCTGCTTGTGGTGGTATTATTAGGGATTCTGCTGGAAAGTGGTTAAAAGGGTTTGCTTTCAAGCTTGGTGCCTGTACAGCCTTCAAAGCTGAAATGTGGGGGATCCTTCGTGGTTTGGAACTAGCGTGGAGTGAAGGTTTTCGTCAAATAGAGATTGAAAGTGATTCAAAGAGTGTTATCTCTGTGCTCACCAAGGAGGGAGGAGCAGTCCGTGAGGGTCATCTAATTACTCGAATACGGACTTGGTTACAAAAAGATTAGCGTGTTAAGATTAGCCATATTTATAGAGAGGGTAATGCATGCACTGATTGGATGGCAAATTATATACTGGATGCTGAAGATGGGGTCACAAATGTTTTTTGTGAGAATCCTCCTACTGGTATTTATTTTTTGTATTTAGTTGATCTTTCTTCTGTAGGGAGAGATCGTGCTGTAATTGTTGTTTAGTTTTCTTTGTTTGTTCGGGCTTTTGCCTTTTGTTTACCAAAAAAAAAAAAAATAAATAATAAATGAGTTATTTCAGTAAGCCAAATAAACTTTTATAAAATCCTAAAGCCTTTTTTGCAGATAGGCCATTCAAAAGGCAGCCTAACGAGTCTAATCTTCTGGGTTAGGTCATGCTTAAGAGATTTCAACATATATTTACCTCTAAAAACTACGAGTTGCTTCTTGGTACATGTTCTGACGTATATGCCATCAATTTCTAAAAATAATCCTTCTTTTGATTTTTTTTATAATTTATTGTATTCAAAAAGTAATTTGATAAAAAAAAAAAATCAAATATGAACTTCTTATTATAATAATGTATACTTGAAAGTATAATTTTTTTTCTATTTCAATAAATTCACATAGATTGAAAGTACATGCCTTGAAATATAAAATCGACTTCGTTAAAAAATGATTGTATAAAAATAGAAGGTTTTATTAATCTCATGTTAAAAGAGATAAGTTATCTCATGTCATAGAGATAAACTTGTGGGTTCAACCACCTGAAAAATCAAAAGAAAAGAAAAGAAAAAAGTGACACAGTTATCGAATGGTGTGTAGGAGAGAAATTTATCACATATAGCAATAAGGTAATTTTTCCCAAAAATAGAAATTTGTTAACCATATTTTTAGGATGATGTAGGATCATTTGACACCAGTGTCAAATTTGAAGTTTGACACTTCATTTGAGAGCTATTAGATCAAAAAAGATCAACGACTCTGGTTTGTAAGCATGTGACACCGTTGATCTTTTTTGATCTAACGACTTTTAAATGAATGTCGAATTTCAAATTTGACACTGGTAACAAAGGATCCTACCTCTTTTAAGATACAAAGTGAAGGAATAAAAAATATAAAAATCTAAAGAAGGAGTCACAAGTTTCAAATATCTCGAAAATTCAGAAATATAAATATTTTTTAAACAATTAATAAAAATAATAAATATTTTTTTTGATATATATATATATATATATATATATATATATACGCGCGCGCGCGCTAAAGGCATGCGCTAATAAAACCTTTAAAAAGATTAATAAAAGCGAGGAATGAAAGATTAAAGATAAGATGGCATTAGGGACGGTGGTGACCGGTGACACGTGGAGTGAGAGATGGAAGATTTCGGAAGCGTTCCAGAGAATTCTAGACTCCACTCCATAAATACCGAACCATGCTTCCATTCAATTCCATTCTCCTAAGCTTTCTTCTATAAACCATAACGCAACGCAAAAGCAACTTTGCACTTTTCATCATCTCTAATTCTATTTCTATTTCTAATTCTAATTATTAATCGATCTCTGCAATTTCATTCTCATGGAGGGACACAAGTTGTTGAAGAGGAAAGGAAACGTCAGCGACGATTTCTTCGATTTCTCTCTCTCTTCTCCTGCTACTAAGATTCGCCGTCTGGTACTTAACTCACTTCACTACCTCCATTCCTTCGTTCTTCAATTCCTCACCGATCTTGTTTATTTTTTTTTATTTACTTAATTATTAATTTGCAATTTGTGTTTGTTTGTTACCATCAGGATGCTGCGTTGCCGCCAATTGTGGAAGAAGAGGAACCTTTACCGTTACCTCCTAACAATGAGAGAGCTCTTGTGCTTTTCAAGCCTCCTCTTACCTCTCCTTCCTCTTTCTCTCTCACTCTCAGTTCTGATCTCATATCTGGAATTAAGAGTAAGTGTCTTGTTTTCTTTATTGTATTGTATCTATCACTTTATTAATTAATCCTAATTATAGATTGTTTTGTTTAATTTTTTTAATTTTATTTTGTTTTAATTTTATTGCAGATAAGTTTCCTTGGTCAAAACATTGTGATTCTGATTGTGACCAGAACGAGAACGATCATCGTTTGGCTCTTGTGCCTTGGGTACCCTCGTCTTCTTCACAATTCCCCTCTATTGATGATGATGATTCTGAAAACTTCAATGCAGAGTTGATGGAAGCTGATGAAATGAGAGGAGGAGGAGAAGGAGAAGCAGAGGCATCTATGATGATGGATATAGAACAAGAAAATACTGCTAGTGGTTCTTCAACTTCATCCATCTACCATCCAATAACACAAAGTCTACAACAACAACAACATCAACATCATCAAGGCATTGCTTATGGTGGAGTAACAGCTACAGTTCCAGAGGGTTTCCAGCATCACTGCTTGTTATCTCAGCTTCCTCAAAACACCTCAACTGCAATCACTTGGACCCGTTGAAAATCTTGTAGTTTTACACTCTCTTCTTGTGTTGTTGTTTTTGTTGGACAAGCTTTTCTCCTATTTAGAATACTAGAATAGACCATAGATTGCGGTTTCTGAGAGAAGTGGCTTTCTCCAAATTTTTGGTTCTGCGTTACCAAGTTATGGATGGGAAAGTTGGTCCATGTCTATAATGGGGACCGTTTAAGATGGGATGGGAATCGTTGTACTTGTTCAAAAGACCATCCAAGTTTGACAAAGAGATTAATGTGTATGTTTTTTTTTTCCAGCCCTTTTTGAAATGATTTCAAGTTTCAACTTTGATTCAATTCGAATTTCGCATTGGTGCAAAGATATGATATTTGATAAGGAGGCAGTGCTTGAAAAGATAAGGCATTGCACTTAGATTAAGCTCTGATTTTTTATTTTTTATTTTTGGTGTTTAGATTAAGCTCTATTTGATTTTCCTCATTGAAGAAACTAAACATGGAGTATAAATTATAAAAATCACTTAATGTGTAAAATCAACTGGCTTTAAAGACTCGTCTAAAAATAGACTTGCACCCTGAAACAGAAATAAGCTCCTTTCATTTTCTATTTTATTTTTTCATATTTACTCATCTTTGGTAAGAAACAATCGAATAGCTTTTCCAAACTCCAAATCAAATGATTCTTCCAGTTTGAAATAAATCAAGGCAGGGCCATTCATGATGCATATAACTTCTATATTTAAAATACACTGTCAGCGTAAGGCATCTCTAATTGGAGTACACTAAATAAAGCAAAAACCAAATGCCACAAAACTGGTGGGCTAACCACATGGGAGCCTTTCAGATGAATAGTAAAATGTCAGGACATTATAGTATATTGGTATTCCTGAGATATGGCCACAATACTCTTCTATGCAATACTCTCTACTTCTCGTCCTCCACAAAGTGTCTATAGATTCCAGCTATATCCAGCATCTCGGTGACAGGGGTAAGCTTGAAGAGCAATACCAAACTAAGCAGCATGATGATTCTATATATGCTAGTCTCCAGAGACGTATTTTTTCTCTTCATAGTATCTCTTCTCACTCTGAGCCTTCTTAGCATTGCGTTTCTGCATCAGACAAGAAAATGAAGCAGATAACTACGTCATCTCTAAAACTGAAACATCTATCAGAATTTAGACAGGAAAAGCAAAAAAGAATAGAGCTCCGATAGTGTAAACTTTTTCTTTTTCTTTTTCTTTTTTTTGCAGAATATCCTCAGGTAATCCCATAGGTTACCTGTTGACTAATCCGGAGTTCAACTCTCATGCTCTAACTGAGCTATCATCATTTCGTAATAGTGTAAACTTTTTTAGTTTATTAAATAGTGGGAACTGATTAGACTTTGAGCTTCAGGGAGTCTGTGATGATTTAATTTAAGCTTTCATTTCTAAATTTAGTTAAAAAATTTACCAACAAGCATTAAAAAAACTCTTGAAGAACGTCCTGCAAATGAAAAGCCCACTACAATTTGATGCCAACAAAAAATCCCCCTTTGAAATGTTTCAGCATGACTTTGGGCTTGTTCATACCACATTTCAAAGTTTAAGGAGCTAAAAAATTCGCAAGGCCCGCCAGTAGGCCCGGACTAAAATTAATTGATGTACAATCTCAGGAATGTGAATTAGACGTTTAATTAATCTTTTCTTTGAGAGGTAAATTATGCAACTTGTGATGGATTATAAAATTAGCAGCACCTTATGACAAATTCGATGTTAGCCATACATACTAGAATAACCAATTAACCATATATATACAAATACAAACTTTGAAGGTTGTTAAAATATTCAGAAAGCAAAAAAGAAAAAGAAAAAATGTAATATAGTAATTACCATGTAAGCTCCATGATTCGCCATTATCCTTTGTGCTACTGAGGTAGTAGTAATATCTTTTGGACTTTCGAGCAAGCGAAATATTCCCATGCTCTTTGGGACCTTGTAAGGATCTGTTTCACTCTGCACAAGACAACTTGTTCACTGATACGCCAAAAAAGGAAAATGTTATTGTATCCCAGGCGAAATATAAAACAATGGGTGAACTTACCAGCAATGACTTCTCAGCAACAGTCCCGTGCACAGCTAGTGAAATATTGAAAGTTGTGATCTGTTTGATTCCAAAAAATAAACCTCGTCATAATAAAAATTTCTAATGAATTCAAATTTATGATCTCTCTCTCTCTCTCTCTTTCTCCCTCTCAACTAGATGCAATGTATGTATACAAAAAGTTACATTTCTAATCATTTCAAGAAGAAAACATGCAAAAAGATGGAGATGATGTTTCATGAAACTACCATGATTAGTAAGAGTTGAATCCTTTACTTGAGTATTCGAGAAAGAATGAGTCAATATGAGTCAATACACAAGAACAATTTCAAATAAATTGGTAAACCTATAGCTACTTAAATAAAATCCAGAACTCAGAGACGTACCATGTCCATTGTAATTTCCCAAGGTGCACCAATAATGACTTCATCAACATAACGGCAAGCTAGCACGCTAAGGCTACGCTCATGTAGATGCATAAGTGGATAGTGATTTCCTCGATGTTCACTGCAGGAAAGTTGTTATTTTCTCATCTGTGGTTTTGACATAAATACCTGAATAATACCCCGAAAAGGCAAATTAGCATGATAAAAAACTGTATACCTCACTGTCTCGTCTGAGTGGATACCAACTAGAAGAAAATCTCCAAGCTCCCTAGCCCTCTTAAGTATCTGAAAGAACATGGGAATAATGAATAAAACACAATCATACCATAACAATTAGGTCAAATGATCCCTTCCTGTTGGATAATGAACTTTAGCGTTTAACTAAGGATAATAAATTACACCCTATATGAAACTTATGCGTACCTCAACATGCCCTGCATGGAAGAGATCAAATGCCCCATCAATGTATACAATACGAGCATTTGGTGCAGGACCCTAAAATAAAATGGAAGTGACAACGCATAATCAAATGAAAAAGTTCCACAAACTATAGTCGAAAAAACAAATTGCCTCTACCCATTTTGAACTTGAAACCACTGGTCGTCACATAAATTTCAAATCAGCGTCCATTGCATTAAGTAAATCCATATAAACATTGATATTGTTTTGCATAGCTCTTAAAGAAACAGCATAAATATATCAAAATAAGCATTCACCTAGAAAAACTCATAAATTGGTTTCTACAATTATGAAGCAAAAATACAATATTTCTTTGAAAGAGTAGACAACCAAAATACCTTGCCATTTGAAAACTGGACAATACGTCGGGAAGTTGGTAGGAATTGGGATACACTGGAACCCTTTGATTGGCTTTCTTCTTGAGATTTTACATCAGTACCATTATTATCTTCACAATTTTTTGGATCTCTTAAAGAAGACAGTATTCTTCCTGTATTGAAGCACAGTTAGATGAAATATGTATGATTAGTTTAACAATGATTTATTGAAAATAGTTGGGGAGCATCAGGTAGGTATCAATTATCATGCCCCACACATTAGAGAACTTCAGGTAAATTCTTCATCTTAGGAAGCCTAACTGCATACACATCACACACAAACAAGATTTTTTCTGTAAGCAATTTCTCCCTCAGCAAACCCCCACCCCCCACAAAATAAATAAAAAAATAAAAAATAAAAAAATAATCCATCAACAACCCGAGAGATGCAGTTACAATCGACAAAAACTCCTGGCTTTCTTCTGATATAAATATAGAAACTTAGTACCTACGATATCTGTACTGGAAACTCCTTCAGTACGTTTTATTTGCTTGTAACGTCCAGCTTTCTTTGCTGCAGCATAAGCATCTGTTCCATCTGGAAGCAGGCAAGGATCATCACCATGTATGACATAGTCAATTTTGTAGTCATGAAAGAGACGATGCAAGAATTGTTCAGTAATTGCATACGGAGCATCAGTTATGACCTCATCCACCCACTTCAATCCACTGACAAGAACCAGCCTGGAAGATAAATACATTTTCAAATAAAAAGTTAGCTTCCATAATTCATTTTTCAAATCACGAGTGCAAGTGAAGATGCAAGCATACATGGCATTAGAATTAATAAGGCTATACAATATCACATTTCTGGAATGGGAAAAATGTTTATCCTTTTAAAGGATGGTCATTCTAGTTAGAACTAATGTTTTTTTATTTGAAATTTAAATAAAAAAAAATCACCCACTTTCTGCCCCATGATTTCTATTGTGTATCTCTTTCTCTCACTTAAAATGACACAATTCTATGTTCTTTTAAAGGACAAACACCAAACCCTTCTGGAATTGATCAAATGTTTCTATAAGTTTCTACCATATTCCTCTTGTAAAAAATTAAATTTTTTACAAGCTCTGCTATCACTTAAGTTGCTCAAGCAAATCCAAGTTTCTTTCACTGACATGTAACTTCTAGTCTTACCGTAAACTGAATGGTGGTTGGTTTCATCTAAGAGAAAAATCAAAAGGACAAAAGAACAAAAAGGAGCATCTGATAGGGTACAAGAATCTAAAGTATGCTATGATTTATATTTTAGAGAAAAATAAAAAATAAAAAACAAATATTTATACCTCTCCTCCATGGACAAAACAGGTGGCCCTTTATTGGCTACAATCTCCTCATCACTGACAAGACCCACAATCAATTCATCTCCTAGAGCTTTTGCTTGTCTGAGTGCATTGGCATGGCCATAATGCATCAGATCAAAACAGCCATCCATGTAAACTCGAACGCGCCTCTTCCCAGATTTCTTCTTGTGGAAAATCCCCAAATTAGACCAGGAGCATGGCAGTGGCAAAAAAGGAACCCCAATCCCACCAAAGTAGCTGGTTGACAAGCCCAGCAAGGCTGCTGTGACCATTAGACCACCAAACACATGTGGATTGTTGTATACCCCCTCCCAAATCCAATTGTTACTTTCATAATCCATGTGATCTTTCTTCTTCTTCTTCTTCTTCTTCTTCTTCTTCTTTTTTGTTATGGTCTCAGAAACTAGCTATTATATAAGAGGAGGCACAGACCTGCAACCAATCACCATGGAAAAAGGGAATCAAATGCATTTTATTCTCACCAAAATCATACCCCATTATTTTCAAGTACAATTCAAACAAACATTACTAGAGAACCTCAATGAAGAAAATAATACTTAACATATTGGAGGAAAAGGATGACTAGCCATCAAGATGAAATTAAATAAACTCGCATGTAAAATCCAGATGGAAAGCAAAAAATTGAGAATTGGGGTATTCTCATATTCGTGATCTAGATAATAATAATAATAATAATAACAACAACAAACGCAGCTTTATTTGAATAAAATCACAACACGAATCTTTGATGAGATGAACGAAGTATGCAGATTCGAAAGGGAAAAAAAATAAGCACCTAACCAGAGAGAAAACGAAAACCCACCTGAGATCCTTAAGAAAAAAAAGGAGAATTGACGAGTAAGCAAGTGCAGAATGAAGATGGTAAGAATGGAGAGTAATTATTAAAGATGAAATGCAAGTGCAGAAGGAAACAACATGAATTCTTTCTTATGGAGAAACAAGAGATCGAATCCAACCTTTTTTTGCTTCTTCCTTTTCCGTTTCTTTTTTGTCTGTGTCTCCTCTTTCCCTTCTCTCTCTCTCTCTCTCCCTCCCTTGGATTCTTATGTAAGAAAGCTCCTCCTAGTTTTCGTAACAACAAAGCATTGCCTGCACAAAATACTTCACTTTTTTCAAACCAAAATTAATTAACTAAATTAAACAAATATATATTAATCTTAATAGTCAATTATCAAGGCAAAATTAATTATTATTATTTATTGAAAGAAGTGATGACACAAAATTATACAATTTTTAATGAAATTAATCGTTTTGGTGTATTTTATATTTTTTATTTATTTTTTTTCTTGATTTTATAAGAAAAAATAATAAAATACACTCAAACGACATGATTTCATATGATATAACTCTGTATCATTTAAAATTACAAACACTCTTCTCTTATTTATTATTGTTATCTTAATGTTGTTGTTATACAATTCAAATGAATCTCATCACTATCTTATTTGATTTTTTTAATTTTTTAACCAGTTTATTGATATCAATCCAGTCAGGGCGGACATATTCATAAAGCTCTTATTATTTTTAGTACATGTATTATTAAATCTCTACCAACTACCTACGTAGTACTTGAGCTCGAGACCATGAATAAGTTCTACCTTTATGAGAAACCCGAATCGCATCTTGATTTGCTTTCTTTAAAAAAAAATTGTACATACTTAACGTGGTATATTAGTGTATTTGTTCTCGACTAGTAATGGCGATTGAAGGTGGTGGAATTGTATTTTTTTTTTAAGTTATAATTATTCATGGGTAAAGAATTTCTCCAGGAGATAAGTTATTTTCGATGAATATAAAATGATATCATTTTGAAGAGAAAATCAAGATATTTTTGTAATTCTAATATATTACAGGGTTATATTAGTTTTTATCAGTATAATTTTTTAATCTTGTAACCTCGAAACGACGTCGTTCTGAATTCACTGGAGATAAATTTATCTCCAATTACTGAATAAATACTTTTTCCATTACATTTTTTCATATCTATCTCTGGTAACCCTAAAAATTAGGACATTTTGAATTAATGAAAGATATTTCTGAAATTTTATTTATTTTTTTATCATATAAATTTTATCAAAATACTCTTCTTTAATTTTTCTAAAATTACAAAAATATCTTTCGTTAAGTTAAAACGACGTAGTTTTAAGTTATTAGAGATAACTTATCTCTAGTGACTAAAGAAATAATTTATCCTACTTTTAACTAAAAATTCAAAAAAAAAATCCACTCAAAGTTTTTATAAATTTAAAGGGGGAATATGCTCCAATTAGCTCCTCTCTCATTCTATCACTGTAAATTAATATAATGGATCCACGAACTCCAGGTCAAAACCATCATTCGTTCAAAAACAAATCATTACATAAAGGATCTTATTCATAAAAGAAGTTATATCCTACCTAAATATTATTAATCTTATGTAAATATTACCTATACATAAGGGTCACTCACTATAGCTATATTATTTCTGAAACCTTAACCTCTTATTATCATCATGTGTTTCAATATTTTGTTCAATGTTATTTTAACATAGTATAAATTACATTTTACTGGTAAATTAAAAAAAAAAAAAAAAAAATCAACCACGTGAGTGAATGTGATGGTTCAGCATCTCATCTCTTAAGCAAGTGGTTGGGATTCGAACCCCAACTCTTGTGAATGGAAACATTATGTGGTTAGCTCTTTATCGCTTTGTGCGCTGACCCGTGGCAAGAGATTAGTCTCATACCTATCGGCTGCGGAGATACCCATATATAATCCAAAAAAAAAATCTAAAATTATATTAATAATGTGTTAATACAATATTTAATTAATACAGTAAGTTAATTTTAGTGGATTTGTAGAACAAATCTTGCTTTTTGTATATAAATTTGATTGTATAAGAATGTTACATCCGTGGCCGTGACATCAGGAATCGGTTGGACAGCATTCATCCAATTCTCGCATCAATCAAACTCTTCACCGTTCCATTTGTCAAGCCACCTTTCAATTCAGTCTTTATTTGACTGCGATTTTAGCATGCAAGTCATTCTCTCGATAATTAATTCAAAAAAAATCACAAACCCTACAACGGCATATGGAATCAGTCTCGTGTTCACACTATTCCATATCTTCAAATTATATCTTTTTAATTTATTTATAATAATAATAATATTTAAATATCATTTTTCTCATGGTATTTTCACACTACATTTTTTAAATAATAAAACAATAAAAGCTAACATAAGCTTTCTTTATATTTTCTTTCCCAGACTAGAAACATCTAAAAATGAAGCTCATTTTTTGTGGTCTCGGACTTAGTAGGCTTTATCCAAAAATAAAAGGAAAAATTATCGAGATAAAATTTAAAAAGAAAATAGGAATATAAATGAAAAAAAAAATTCCTTTTTTAAAAAGAAGCACTCAAAAAAATCATGCACCAGGAGCATATTAAAAAAAATCCCTAAGAATGATGCACAATTTATGTTATACATATATTACTTCCTTGATATTTATCAATTATACACTTAACTTTGTAAAATATACTCTTTACTTCACTAGTTATTGATAAATAATAAAATTTTCTGTCGATTTATTGATTATCCAATTATTTAATTATTATTATTAGATAATGTGGGGTTAAAGCTGCGCTGATATAAATTAACTTTAAATTCTAAATAATCTTTATTTTTTTTTCAAAACTTTGCTATATCCGCTGTTGTAAAACTAAAAAATTAATTTCCTTGAAAAATGTGTTTATATATATATATATATATATATATATATATGGATTTGTTTTTTCTGCACTTACTGCAGATAAATTATCTGCGGTAAGCTCAGTACGACATCGTTTTGGGACATAAATTATGATGTTTTTGTAATTTTAATTTATTTCAGGGTTATTATAATCTTTATAATTATAATTTTCTAATCTTTTAATCTCAAAACGACGTCGTTTTAGAAGTAAATGCAGACAACTTATCTGTATTAACTGCAGAAATATTTTCTGTATATAATATATATATGGGCTTTAGATTCATCATGCAACTTGACTATATTTTTTTTCCTACAAAGAAAAGACAAGTTAAATAATAATAAAAAAAAGTTGAAAAGGCACACTATTCAATAACTTTACTTTGTCTTTAGTAGTTGCATGACACTAATTTTTTACATGCAACATGATTCATATTTATCCCTATATATATATATATATATATATATATATATATATATATATATATATGGGTTTTATAAGAGTTATGTTGTAGGAAAAGTGATTGTGTAATGTTATAGAGATTCGTTTTGCGTGCCTTAATTTTTTATTTATTTTTTTGTTTTAAAAAGTGTGAGCCCCACAAAATGTTGTGAGTGTAGGAAAGTTTGTTATATTATGTTAAAGGATAAAACCAAAATCCTATATATATATATATATATATATATATATATATATATATATATGAGAAATTCATTTGTCATAACATGACAAATGAATAGTTGTCCTACATACACAACTTTTGATAGGTGAGAGAAAAGAAAAGAAGGTGAGAAAAAAAATTATAATAGAACCCATAAAAAATTGTGCCAATAGCATAAGGGGTTTACATTTGTTATTTAACATGATACAACAAACTTTTCTACACATACAACATTTTGTGGGGCCCACATTTTTTGAAGAAAAAAGAAAAAAAATTACGGCATGCAAAACGAATCTCTATAACATTACAGAATCATTTTTCCTACAACATCACTCTTATAAAACCCATTGAAAAATTATTCATTTGTTATGTAATATGAGAAATGAATATATATATATATATATATAATATTAATCCATAAAAATATACTTCATATTTTATAAATTTATAACTCTATAATTAAAATTTGAACCAAATACTATTGGCACAAATGATAAGAAATTTGTGTCTCTTAATCAGAGATTCTGTCTCCGAATCTTGGAAATGAAAAAAATAATTTTGAGAGAGCCACTTTATTTATAGGATGGGACAGTGCTCAAACTGAATCAGTCGAATGATTGAGGAGACTATAAATAATTTAAAAATTGAAAAAGGGCCGCGTCAACATATAAGACCACGTGGAGATGGTATTTCTCATTTGACGGGAACCATAAGTTAGGGACATTTGGATTCTATCAGAATGGCCACGACGAAGAAAGAAACGTTCAAGTCAAGATTGAAAGAGCAACGGAATAAACTATCTAAGCCTATGACAAAATGAAATGTCTTCGAGAAACTTTAGAGAACGAAGCTTCTGCAAGAAATTTAATAGTCAATATTTTAACTGCCTATTTTACCCTTGTTTAGCACGAATAATTTACAAACAATCCAAAACTGTGCCATTGTAATTTAAAAGACACTTGAAGATATATATCGTGGTAAGTTGAAATAATACAATGGGATAGACAAAATTATACAATTACTACAATAAGTTTAATTATAAAATAAAATATAAATTAAAAGACAATCAGCTCAAGAAAAAAAATTAAAATCATAAGAAAATATACATGATTAATTCAAGTAATTGTCAAAAAATATAAATTAAAAGATAAAATATTTATAATGATAAAAATATATAATTTATTTTCAATTTCTAAAAAGAAAAAAAAAATACTAAAATGATATTATATGTTAGGGAGAGTTCATAAAGAAATCTAACACTCTCAAAAAAGCACATTCTAACTTAATATATAAAAGTGAATAAATGCTAACATGAACTTACACTTTTCAATAAAAAAAATTGCCGATTGAACTCAATGCCAAAGGAGTGATTATTTAATTACAAGCTGTGATCTTTACTTCAGATACTCATGGCATATAAGCTTTATTAGAGGTGTTCACCGCAAAAACTATATTGAAACCCAACAATAAAACAATTTATTATTATTATTATTATTATTGAAATGGATCTGTTTTCAACCCTGATTTTGAAAGTGATTCTGTCTAAACAAATCAAAATTATACACACATATATCATTTTATTTATGAAATTACCATACCACCTATACATATACATATAATTTTGGTGTATATTTCTTCATGCAGTACTATTACCGTACTTACAACTAGAGATGGCAAAGTGGACGGTCCGTCCCGCCCCACTCCGCCATCAATCCGCCAAAAAATAAGTCAGTCCGTCCCGCTTTTGAGAGTGGGCTGAAAAATTCAACCCGCTCCGCCCTGCTTTTGAAAGTGAGCTGAAAAACTCAGCCCGCCTTGTCCCGTTTGGCGAGTTGACCCGCCAGCCCAAGCCTATTTTACATTGACCCGCCTCGGCCCACCTATGCCCACCATCAACTCGCCAAAAAATGAGCCCGCCCCACTCCGCTTTTAAGATGAATTGAAAAACTCAGTCCGCCCCATTTGACGGATTGGACGAATTGACCTACCGAGCTGAATCGTTTTGCCGGCTCTGCTTGCAACGGTCTAAGTGGACGTTGAAATTGAGAAATTCTGATTTGAGCATACTCCAATTTCGATTCTTGTATTCACTGTTCTGTTCGGTAGTATCTTGCTTCTTATCTCTGTTCACAAGCTCCAGAGTGCTAAATTATGCGAAAGAATCTTGTGAATGTCCATATTTTAGATTCCATTTATTGCTTGATAAAAATTAAAAAATGCATCCAATCCAAACTACTTTAAATTACATTGAATTTAATTTCATTTAAATTTAAAATAATAATTAATCAGATCGTAAAAATAAGAAAACGAATAAAAAAATATTAGTTCATAACATGATGTTAACCAGACAGGAATCAAATTTGCGCATAAGAATATATACTAAAAAAATTGCACATGAAAAACGAATTTAATTACTTTTATGTTACTTTATATTTAGACCGCAAAAGAAAATATTTTAACATACTTTTCATTTTTATTTTTTAAGGAATAATATAACTCGTTTCATCTCCCTTATTTTAAATTCTAAGGCATGGTAGGCCCAATCGTAAAAAAGAATGAGCTTTTAATGTGATTGACCTTTAAATTGTTCATCTTCTATTCTAGAAAACTCTTGAGATATGTTAAGTAATAATATAATATATAAAATAAAAAATATCTTCATTTAAAAGTTTAAATTTGTGCGTTAAATTAATTATTTACATTTTTCAAAAAAATATAATAAAATGTTAGTGTTTCTTTTGTCATATAAGATAAAATTATGTTATTTTGAGTTGGGAGAAAAAAATAATATAGAGTGTTTTAAAATAGTTCATGTTTTAAGAATAAGTAAAAAATTTAAAATATCTTTTATTTTTTTCCTTGAATCTCAAAACCATATTTAAATTAGGAAATTTTATTTTTTGTTATAGGAGAAATATTTTTCCATCATAGAATAATGATATTAAAATTTCAATAAATAAAAAATATCCATTTTAAAACACAGTTTTTTTTTTTTGCAAAATAAAATGAAAAAATAATATAAAAATTATAAGTAACTCAAAATGCAATATCCGCGAGGAAGACGAATGAAACGAATTTATGTGTAACTTGTGTTGTGTACTCATTCATTTGTTCAACAACGTCATAAATAAATATTGCAAATAATATAGCTGCTCGGAACTAGTGTTTTCTTAAGGGTGTGTTTGGTTTGAGGTTTTTGAGGAGATTGATAGGTAAATGTGAAGTGTGAAAATTGGATGCTCATGTTTGGTTAAGAGAGGTTCTAAATTTATCTACCTAAATAAGTATGCTAGCAAATCACTTTGTCTATCATTTTGGGAAGAGATTGCCGCCAAAAAAACCTTTTTTATATGTGGTATTTGTCATTAGCTATGTATTTGGTTTAGTGGGTGTAATAACCAAAAGACCAACTTATCCTCCGTTACGAGCTGCTTCAATATTTTAATATTGTAATGATGCCATCTACTTTGATTCTTATAAAAGACAAATAATTTATTATTATTTTAGCAAACACCATCTTTTGTTTCTGTCCATGCATTACTACCTGTAATTCATCTTTTTTTTTCTTTTTTCCTTTTTTTATAAAGAAAAAAACAAACACGGTTTGAATACCTTAGCTATTCATTTTAATTCACGGCTGTTTTTATAACTGATTCATTTTTGAAAAACAAGATTATTTTTGTAATAGCACATTTTTTTTCCATTTATATTTTACCAAAAGTCAAACATAAACTTTACAAAAGTTACTTAATTCCTCTAGTAAATTTTTTTCCAACCAAACAACTATTTTTTACATCTTTCTACCAAACTCACTTCCCAATCATTTTCTTACTAATAATATTTTTCTATGATTCATACAAAATTTTCCTTAACCAAACGTCTCCTTAGTGCATCGGTTCCTTTTTTAAAATGTGGAATTTTTTTTAACTTTTTTTTGCATTTTATTCCTTTATTTTATTTTATTCTTATTTTTGTCTCAAAAAAAATTCACATTTCGAAAAAAAAGGTACCTATTTAGATACTCCCAAGAGTCCCAGGGCACTAAAGTTTTATTCCAGGTCAGGATATTACAAAAATCCACAAGGCATCAGAATAACGGATTTAAATCGAGTATCCTATGGCCTACACTTTTTATACGAAGTTTAGTTTTAATATTAATTAAAAGTTAAAATTATTATTTTTTATTTAATATTTAAATTAAGAAAAAATCTTTCACCTTCTTTTATTATAATTTTTGTTTATCTCATTATAAAATAAGATAATTTTGACTAAAATAATATAATTTTATATATTTTAAAAAGATAAACATATAATAACAATTTTCAGACATTAAAATTTAGAAATTTATATGAGGAAAAAAAATGATAGTAGTGATTAGGAAGAAGAAAAAAACAGCAATAACCTAGCAATAGACAATAGTTATTATCTGCTTCGCGGTGATGGCTGTATCTGTGTCACTACCACTCCATTGTTCTCCCGCCACTAACAGTCTTCGATTATCATCAAAATCCACTTCATTTACCCTCCGCCGCGTCAACCACCGCACTTGTGTCGCCAGCGGTGGCAGTCCTCTCCTCCAAGTTAATGATCTGAAGGCTAAGATCGTTGAATCCGATGTGGAAATTCTTCGCGGCGTTAACCTCACTGTGAATCAAGGTGAGGTTCACGCCATCATGGGAAAGAACGGTTCTGGAAAGAGCACTTTCGCCAAGGTCCATCACTTTCTCTTCAATTGAAAGCTTAATTCGTGTTTCCGATTTCATCTTAACATCGCATTACGTTATTTTAAGCAGAACTTGCTAATGTCTTGTTATGAAAATAGAAAATAAAATGGTTCGATTCTGAAATTGAAAGCTTGTCGAGGTCTTCTTCAATTGAAAGCTTAATTCGTGTTTCCGATTTCATCTTTAACATTGCGTTACGCTATTAGAAGCAGAACTTCATAATAATGTCTTGTTATGAAAATCATGAATAGAAGAAGAAAATGGTTGATTCTGAAGCGTAGCTTAAGCTTGCAGGTTCTTGTTGGCCATCCGGATTATCAAGTTACCGGAGGTAGCGTTGTGTTCAAAGGGGAGAATTTGCTTGATATGGAACCTGAGGAAAGGTCTCTTGCGGGTCTTTTTATGAGTTTCCAGTCCCCTGTTGAGATCCCTGGTGTTTCTAATGACGAGTTTCTGGTCATGGCTTACAATGCTCGAAGAAAAAAACTTGGCCTCCCTGAGCTTGGACCACTCGAGGTATCTTATCTTATCTCCTAAATTATAGTATTCAACAGCTCATTTCTTAATTTTCGCATGGGTTGGTGTGAACCTTGGCACAACTGTTTGGTGTTGTCGCAATGTAACCTGGAAATCATAGGTTTGATTCATGACCTCCTGCAAATGCAAAGGAAGGCTGCCTATTATAGACACACGCAATGAGTCTAAACCCTTCCCTGGACGCTGATCGTAACGAGAGCTTAATAGCACTGGGCTGCCCTTCTTTTTCTCAATTTTCACGCCATTATTCTGTCTTGCAGTGCTTTTCTTACCTCATGGAGAAACTCCAACTTGTTAACATGAAGCCCGACTTTCTCAATAGGAATGTCAATGAAGGATTTAGTGGCGGTGAACGCAAACGGAATGAAATTTTGCAGCTTGCGGTATCCTATTAACTTATATTTCAATGGTAAATGTTTGTCCTGTCCTAACTTTTTGACTTTAACCTCCATGTATGGCCCAGGTTTTGGGGGCAGACTTGGCAATACTGGACGAAATTGATTCTGGTTTGGATGTTGATGCACTCAGAGATGTGGCAAGTGCAGTCAATCGAATTTTGACACCAGAGAATTCTTTATTGATGATCACTCATTATCGACGAATTCTGGATCTTTTAAATCCTACACATGTCCATGTTATGGTAAGTTGGAAGTGATATTCAATACTATTATAAGTTTTGGACTTGAAGTGAATGGCTCAGACTCAGACTTTTAGTGAAGAGACAGCAAGTAGTTTCCCTCCCCCAACCCTCTCGTTAGGTTTTAAAGAAAATGTGTTTTAGGTGTTTAGTTTAGGACTTGTCCGTGCTTTACCTTTGTATGAATGTACTCAATTTTAGAAAAAAATTGAGCAGATATTTGCTATTAAATTGGACAGTGAAGCTTCTGTAGTTTGTTGAATAACTTCTAGAGGTATATACTTGCATCTTATGGGAAGGTTCTTATTTATATTTTCTACTTTTGTTACTAATTTTAATATGGAAGCACTCGTCTAAGATTCTATTTATATCATAGTTGTAACCAAATCCTAAAAGGAACATTGCATGTCAAATTTGTACGACATATGGGTTTTAATTACTGAAATTAGAAAGCTAGTCCTGTCACATTATTTCTAATTAAACTGAAATTAGAAATTATTTGGTTAAGAGCATGTCATTAAATATTTGCGTTGTTTGAGTTTTCAAGTTGGGGAAAAAAGGTCCAAAGAACATGTACACATATGAGCAGACTGAATCTGAAAATTCAAGTGAAGGATTAATCTGAAGTAGATTCTCTAAAGAAAGTAGCTGATTTCTCATATTTGTTAGTATAAAAAGATAGGTTTAGATTTAAACGTATATATCTTTGTGATTTTGCTGATCTATTTTAATGTTCTTATCATTGCTGTTAATTCCCTGAAATCCACTCATGTATATATATGGTCATTTATTAGCCTTCTGATAGAAAATTGTTTATCCTGCTTAGAAAGCAGTTATAGACAGCGTATGAGAAATTGAATGCATATATATATATTGTCTATACTGTGAAATAACATGAATGAACCTTTCCTTTTATTCTTAAAAAATTTCAGGACAAAGGAAAGATTACAAGGACGGGCGACTTATCTATGGTAGAAGCTATTGAGGCAGGGGGATATGAAACAGTCTCAGCTTCATGACTTCGGTGCGAAATTACTGTTCTGCTTTCAATTTAAATTAATTTCTTATTATCTCATGTTGTCAATATTTGCATGAGTTGTTTTGTATGAGTATTCCTTTCAAGATCATGATTAGGAATAGACAATATATAATTAAGTGGAATGATGACCAAAACTTTCTTAAAGGTACTAATGATAGGCCTGATAAGGTGTACTCATTTGGGTGCTCATAGCTATATAGCTATCTTTGATTTTCTTTTTAGTTTAAAATCTTTATTCATTCTGGTTCGATACTGGTATTCTTGCTCCAAACAAAGATGACATAGTATTGTACTGGCCCGGTATTTAATAGTTGTGTCTTACTTTCTTGATGGGATTGGGAAATTGATTGTTTCACTACTAGATGATGTAGTTACAATTGTATTTTGATTATTCAACCTACATTAAAACAACGCATGTTTCTTTGAATACAAGATTTTGTACTTTTCTATGCCAAGAATAGTAGTTTCTGACCGTAGGCATGTAAATGAGGTGTTGATTACTATTAGTGAAGTCCTTCTTGGTCTCCATCTAATGTTTTAGCATAAAGCTTGCAATGTTAAGAATACGGAGGCATTTCGCCACCAAATATTATTTTATTTTTATTCACCTAATATTTTATATATTCAAGCTGGAGTTGCTTACAGATGCCTTTCTCTGTAGTAATATGCTGGAAGATATGAAAACTTTTAAACGTTGAATCTCAGTGAATCAACATTAATTTCAATATCATCTCTGCAGATAATGAGCAGAAAAACATTTTCAACATAGATGTTTGAGTTCAGGTGCACTACGGGGTAAAATTCCTTCACGTTCAATTTTAAAAGGTCTGTTCCAAATTCTGAGCATTGCATTTATTTAGTTCATCATAAAATTTCCAAACTTCTTAAAAGTTTTTTATATTGTTTCTTACCATAGAATTGTTTAATAGTTGATGACTTACTATGGCATGGGTAAAATATATTTTACATTTTTACTAAGCTAAATGAAGAAAGTTAGTAGTAGCTTGGTCCTTCAAACATTGATTGACCTAATCAGGCAGCTTAGTATCAAGTTTGGCTGAGTCATTTGTTTGGGGAAAAGTTGGTCATAGTATTAGTCTCAATTTTCTTTGGGACATTTCCCCTCCCCTTTTTTTTGGGCGTGTTCAAATGGCATATAATCTATGGATTGTATTTTTAATCATATATTCCTCTGTAAGAGCTATATATTAATAAAGTGTTTGCCTTTTCTGATTATCTTTTTCTAATATGGGAAGGAAAGTGCTTCCGTTTCCGTGTAATATTTTTCAAATAATTTCGCATACTAGATAAACTTTACTGAATACCAGTCTGTTTGTCTTGCAGATATGTAAGCAGTGTTATAGTGAAGCAGATGCACTAATATTCTGATGGCTCCTTTCATTTTTTTCCCCATTCTCTCATGGTTGCATTTTGAAAAATGAGGAAGCAAACTGTCTGAAGCTCATGTTGGCAAATGTTGATGCTTATTGACATTGGACGTATATTCTTCTGGGCATTATTACCGTAGGCTTTAATAGAGAAATACAAAACTTTTGAAATTTATCAACTTATCAATCGAGGTTTCTAGCATGCGGATTTGGAAGTCTTGCTTATGTTTATTTTTCAATTGGAAGGGCTTTTTCAGTGTTAACTACCAACTTTTGGATCACCCGTGCTATGTTTGCTGCTAGTGCAGTTGAATTTGTAATATCCATCAATATACATTAGCTACAACATTTTAGTTCCGCTATTTGCAGTTGACATTGGCTTTAAGATCTTAAAATTATTGCATTTGGGGACACTTCATCTATCTGCGGTGTTTAAGAGCATTGATGAATGACGGCCGTTTTTTTTTTTTTAGTACGAACAACATGCCCTTTTTAATACTAGAAAGGAACAGGAAAAGGGGGTGGCTAGAGTGTAGCAGGGGTAAATTATGTTGCGTCTAAGTAATGCAAATTATACACACCGCTGTCATTTTTCTTTTATGAATGACCTGAAACTCATAATCCTCATTCATAATACAAATTATTATTTAATCAGTGCCGACAATATTCTGCAAGATACAAAGACAAAATTGATTTCTCGCATGAGAAGACCACAAACACCATGAAGCAAGAAACAGTAGAACAAGAGTGGGGTTTGGCACCAAAAAACTCAAGTTACCCAGTATTTTTCTAATCTAAAGCTATACATCTGACCAATAAGATTTCCTGTACACATTAAATTTAAAAGGAAAAGAGGTGAAAAAAGAACTGTGATTTTGACATGCACAATATTGCCTTTGTCAAATTGTAGTCATACTGTAAAATCAGAAGCAAATGGAGCCAGCACATTTATCTCTGTTCAAGTAATATAAACCCATCGGAGCGTTAAGGAGCGGAACGGGTAGTTCATTTCAAGTCCAATAATATCCACGTAGTTTCTGTTATAAACCGAAGTATGCCTATCAGCAAGGACCATGCTTACCTGAAAGAGAGAAATCACAAGTATCTTAATGGCTACAAAACATTAAAAATCTCCGCATCAACCAAAAAAAAAAAAAAACTATATAAAACAAAACATAAATTACACTCCACTGAGGTTACCTCACATGACACTAGACCTAATTTTTTGTTTTTAAAATTTAAACTCCCTCCGATTTGAATTAAATTGACTAAATTCTATCCTAGACAAATTATCCTTCTAACCTGATAATAAACTATGGTTAATAATATAATTTATTCAACATTGTAGTTTTAAATTTTCACCCCATCAATTATCCCATTCCTGATACAATATACATGTTGAGTTGGTAATTTGTAGAATTTTTTAATAAATCAGTAACTCAAAAAAAAAAACGAAGAACAAGTATTTATCAATACATGACCAATTTGCACAAAAAACATTCGAATTTCAATTCCACCATCCATCACCAAGATATTAGCACACCCTTCTGTATGAACAGAATGCTCATTTCTTTTGTCCACAATAATAAACTGCAATTACAAGGCACACTTCTTTTTTTGTCTCCCATGAATATTCCTGCATGCTTCTTTGGTGTCAAACTAATCTCGCCCAAGTTAAGTTTGAATATGTAATAATGGGTGGAATGTGATGAAATATGAGGGGAGAGCAGCACCCCAGCTCTTGAACTGCCACTTTATTTAGGCTATGAGGCATACAGAACCTAGTCAAAATATGAGGGGAGCAGCTCTACTGAAAATAGAGTCACAGCTGAACAAAAATAGGCCACTCAAGATGCCTATAAACACCTAGGGGAAGAAGGGAAGGAGTACTATCACACACCTATACAACACTCAAAATTTTGTAGTTTTACAAACATCCATTTATTAAAGCATTGATTTTTCTTTTCCTTCTAAATTGTGGGATCAAACATAGCTCCATTCTATTAGATAACATAAAGAAATTACAGACAACTGAGAACTAACATCACAATATCAAAGAAACCAGCCTTTAAAACAACCTATTGCTCAGGAGAAGAGAAATTAAAATAAAAATAAAAATAGAAGACCCAGTAAATATGATAATGTGAAAAAAAAAATTGTTAGAGAGAGGACTGATGCTATGCATATCCTTTTGGTTTGGATTTTAGTTAAATTAATCTTAAAATAACTGATGTTCAAAAGTTAGTTAGAATAATTGAATCACTTTTGAAATGTAATTATGGCAAGGTTATATAGCAACTCAAATCGTGAATTGTAAATCATATCGAATTGTAAGATTCAGAGACACAAAGAATAGCTTGAAATATATCATATAAATGATCTAAAATGCTCAATGTGATATTTTAAACTAGAGCAGGGAATTGACAAAACAATTTAACCACAAGTCTCAAAAAACAAAATCATGTCATTACTGAGTTGAATAAAGTGATTGCATGAAGTTTATGTTTCAGAAGTGCGAAAACAAAGCAATGATATAGCCAACTAAGGTGCACTATTAAGTTTATATTAAAAAACAAACCGTATTTGTATTAAATATTTTAAAAAAAAATTGTTAACAGTGTTAGAATGTAGTTAGTCAATTTGATCAAATAAGAAACAAGATAGATTTTAAATAAATATTTCTAGTGTCGTGTGAGAATACCTTAAAGAGATGAACAAGATAGATTTTAAATAAATATTTCTAGTGTCGTGTGAGAATACCTTAAAGAGATGGAGTGTAATTTATCCTATAATAATAAAAAAAATCAAAATTCTATAAACTCTATCTCCTCATTCAAATGGCTACGTAAAACTTTGGGCATAATCACCAAACCTCCCCTTGTTTTTTGAGCTCCAAACAACAACCAAGAACAAATTTGGCAACTAAGAATATTTTAATGTCACAATTTTTTCCAGAAAAACATCGTACTAAAAGAGAACAACACATTAGGTGGTTGACCTTATTAGAGAAGGTTTCATCCTCTTATTAGTTTGATCTGTCGTCAACAGACCAGATACCAATTATTAGGGTAAATGAACAGGCATTGTATCAGGAAAATTGACATGAAACTCCTCGAAGAAAGATCACAAACACAGAGGCAAGTTTCTTTCCCTTCAACAGGAACAATGGGGCAAATATGTCAAGAAGGGACGAAGAGGGATGCAATGAATGATGATGAAAGGAGCGATATATACATGGTTTGAATCATCAAGTAGTCACACAAAATCATTTTAACAAGAGTTGAAGAGCTACTGGTAGGGGCAAATTTTTGCATAAAAGTGGGGAGGGGGGCAGAGAATAATAAAACAACAATCAGAAGATCATTGGGTACATATCCTTAATTTTCAAGCAGATGAACCAAAAATCTAAAAGAAGTGAAAACTGCAACCAAAACCCAACCATAACAGCTTGAATAAGTATCTCATTCCACGTATCTATTAATTCTCAGAATATAGAAAGTATTTAACTCTTACTGATTCCCTGCTTCTTCTGAGGATGGGCCCTTTCCAGGTAGGGAGCAATTATGGCATCTAACTTCACTAACCACAAAGCAAGGGCAGATGATGTATGGGGCATAGATGCAAAAGATGCAATGATTTCTTCAACCACACCATCAAGAAATTTGCATTGAAACAACCAGTCCTCGTTGATGGCACCAACAAAATCAGCAAGAACCTATAAAATTTCCAAATTCAGAAAAAATAAAAATTTAAGAGCAATAAAATTTCAGGCACTCCAGGAAATTCTATCAAACAGAAAGTCAAAACAAAAAACCTGAAAAAGCTCCACTAAAGTTGAGGTGCGTCTGAGTCGTTTGATCCATAGCTTATGAGCAGACTTCCTCCAAGCACCAACCAGGGCATCTTCAGGCATAACAGACTGCACAAACAACGATGAGGGCAATGGAACAGAAAATTAATCTTCAAAATACCAATATGCATAAAAACATACATGTAAACCATTATAAGTGTTCAGTATTAAATCTCAGAAAGTTGGAGAAGCAAATAAAAAGTCGGGGGTACCATATTTAATTATCAATGTAGCATCATGCTTATCCTGGATTAGAAGTAACTGAAGTAAAAAACTGTTTGACACATTTTTCAAAACAGAGATACCCAGTCCAAACAAAACCAAGTGGCAATAAGATCGCAGTATCAATTTTCCAACACATACCCCCACCAAATATGAAACATCCTTTTCTGTATTTCTGGACAAAACACATACAAACCTTGCATTTGTTCAATAAAGTGATCTAATATTACAAAATAATACATCCATGCCAGCATGCGTTGAACGATGAAAATGGAAGCAGATGAATGACAACTCACCTCAATAGCATAAATTGCAGCTTTCAGTGATTGAATCCGTGATGATAAGACTTTATGATTTGGAAATGTATTGCTGTCTTCTTTCTCCCTGCATGTGGCTAGGTGAATTGCATATCTTTCTTCTAGATCAAAGTCAAGCTCAAATGTCATATGGCAGATTTTACAGTGTCTCTCATCTCTCCAGTATAGATCGTGACAACTCCTACATCTTGCTAGAGAGTCAAGATAAGACCTTCTACCATATTTTACAACATTGAGATCTAAATAAAAGGAATTCCAAATCCAAGAATCATATTCTTGAACACGGAACCATTTTTGCACTTGTTCCTCCCCCTTCTTTCCGGCTTCAATTACCACAGCCCCAGCTGATGGCAAGGAGCCCTTGGCAGTCTCAGTCAGGTTCAGGTTGTCTACATCAGATACTGGAGAATAACTATCTTCTGTGACCATATCCAGCTCAGATTGATCAGAATGTGACATATTCCCCATACCATTACTATTAACCTTAATCCTGGACATAGATCTGCATAGAGATGTTTGCCGCCTCTCCAAAGATTCAAGAAGAAGAGCCTCCCGTTTCCCTCTATCATCCAAAACTGACAACAAGGTACACAAGGCCTGCACGTAGGTTAACCATATGCAAATGATTATTAGAAATAATTTGAATAGTAAAGCAAACAACAGACAAGCTAGACTAATAAACATGTTCATTTAGTCATTCAGTTTTCCATGTTTCCGTAAGTAACTAAAGTATCTAACATACCAGAAAATAAATTTCAATTTCTGAATAGAGCTACACATAATAAACATTAGAAAATCACCTCTTCGGTATCAATCACCTCCCAGTGACCATCTTCGGAAGATTCAAAGTAAACCCTCCGGTGGCCAGGATCATCTGCATCACAAGGGCCCAAGAAAAGCCAATATCTATTGTACCTACGATCAGATCCCAATAACACTGACTGAATGGGGTGTGAATCAGTTGAACCTTTTCCATTCTCAAAGGATGCCTCATGACTATGAAATTTTGAGAATAATGATGAGGAATCTACTGGACAGGGATGAGAAGTTGAGGGCACTTCTTTAGCAGATTGCATTTGTCCAATCTGGTTCCAAAATGGAACCGGCTTTTTTACTACTGATCTCTTTATTTTTGCTCCAGAACCACATAACTGGACGCCAGAATTGCAATTGGCGGTATCTTTTATTGGATCCTGTAAAAAAGATCATTTAGAACTTTATAGAATAAGGTCAGTTTCAAATAATTTCATTTTAGGGTATATTTTGGGAGGGGAAGGGAGAGGAATGTAGAGGGAGACAATCCAAGGTTGTAACTTTAGATTTATCAGTTCAAATTATACTTCCATTTGAGGGGGAGACAATCCAAGGCCTAAATAGAACCTTTACCAAGATGTTCAGTATTTTACCTTCAACCTGATGCTGGATCCAGATGAAAGAAGATCAGTTAGAGCCGCCAATGCATTCAATTTTTCTTCAATGTTCAAATCAGAATATTCACTCTCCATCAGTCCTAACAACCACACTTCTCCCGGATGGCTCTCGTCGATTTCAGTGTATACTTTCAACATATTATTTTTTGTTTTTTGACTGTTTGCACGCTTCAATTTTCTTATATTGGAGTTTCTTGAATCAGTTTCAAAATCATCGCCACTGCTACACGTATCACTGTCGTTAAGTTCATCATCAACACTCCCAGAGTCCTCCATATCTGACTGGCATTCATCATTGTCCTTCATAACAGTGCTCATACGCAGTCGATATGCAGATGATGAAATCTTTTCAAATAAAGTAATATCACTTGAAAGTGTGGAAAATATTAAAGACTCCAGTTCCTCTGTTGTGCTGACAAGGTTTAATTCAATAATCTTCATAATATGAAAATACAATAGAAATTCATCAGTAATATAGAGAAATATTATAATCCAAAAAAAAATGAATCTGATAACAACAATCCTGAGTATAATTGCAAACAATAGTTAATCTCCATCCAACTTATGCTTTTCTCTTTAAAATGATGAAGTTCTAAATTAAAATAGGACAAACATCATACAATAATAACAGCTAGCTACCTGCTTTGACTTTGCCAGCTCAGATACTTTGCATCCATTGTTTCCTTGCTCTGACAAGATTGTAAACAATTCACCCTTCAAGGTGCCAGGGCATACTCCATAGTTTACAAAAAGATTCAATTCCTATAAACCACAGCATAAGACTATCAAAACATGCACTTAATGAAGGCTTCAAGTTACACTTAAAAAAAGCCTACCGAAAGTGGAAGCAAAACAACAAAAATAATAAACAAAACCTCTTCAAAGAATCTCTAGCCATTAAAGATTAAATTTTATACATTAGAAAATAAAGAATGTGTTGCTGCATTTTTTTTTTTTTTGGATAAAGATAAATTCCAGCATTTTAATTTCCTATGCAAACTGGTATACTATCAATTGACAAAAAAGTGCTACATTGTTAACATATTCAAGTCAAGTCAGATCTTGAACAGGCTTGCTTGAAATACCTTGCTAAGGGCCTCTCTTCGTAAGGCACCTTGCTTTGAACCAAATCCAGAAGCAACCAGCACTTGCCGGAGTATTTCAATCCAAGTAAGAGGATTTAGAGATCTTTTCCATAAGTTCAGGGAATATTCCTGACTTTCAACCTGCCAGATCATTATTAACATAAACATGTAAATAATTTATAGTTCAGCAAAAGTAGGCATATGCTAGCCATTCTGGATAAATATAATAGACAACAAGCATGTCACAACCTCCCAAAATGAGGTAAGGAGACTCACCGAGTGAAGCAATGCAAGAAAATTGCATGACTTATTTAAATGAGGTAAAAACCCATCAGTAAGCTCCATTTCAATGTCAGATAGAAGAAGTGTGAGAAGAGCCACATGAATCTTTCCAAGTAGCATCGAGTCCTGGAAGGCACATGCAGTAAAGAGAGGCATTTTGAATGTTATTTACAATTTGATACAACTCTAGTAAGATTAAAGTTAAAGAAGAAAACTGGAAATGCTTTCAAAAGATAAACCTGGGTCAAAGACTTACCTTATCATGAAATGATTGAACAAACTCATCAAGAGTGAAGGGACATATATCAACAACTACAGCATATGTATAAAGGAAATGGAAAACCTGCCAAAATAGTGTTCGAACCATGCCAATTTAAGGTCTTTTGCTATTAAAAAAAAAAAAAAAACTTTCAAAAGAATAAGAAATAAAGCAAGATAGTAACTGTAGTAAAGTAAAGCTTAACAGTGACAATGCCGGCTAAAAGGACTTCTTTCAGTCTCATACCAAAAAATACTGCAGGATAACTAATAAGATCCAACCTTGAGTAATAGTTCATCCAAGTTAAAACAAAAACCCATGATGATTTGTCGCATGATGAACTAGAATCAGGAATATTTCCCTTACTTAAACATTATTAGAACTTACTGTATTTATCCCATGTTCAAATTCCAGAAGCATAAGTAAAATACAAAAAGGAGGAAAAAAAGTTGACCTTCTAACCATAGGTTATTTTATCAAAATTGTGGTAGGAGGGATTTATATGAGGAGGAGAAATAGTCATGATCTCATACAGTGCAGAAGCAAGAACAGAAACAGGAAGAGAGCAAAAGCTCCTCAAGTGGCATGGTGTGCTTGATGCTTCCCAGTTCCCACCATAAAAATTTCGAGACATGGCTAACTTTTCATACCAGGTGGAAAATGCGCCATGGTGGTCATAAAAGTGGAATTCCTCATCTTCCCTCCTTTTTTAATTAATGGCCTTCATATTTTTCAGGGTTTATGTGTGTTTTGACCATGTTAATTCGACCAAAAACATTTTGCATCTTTCACAGACAGGCTGCGAGCCTGCTACAGAGACATAAGGTTCCCAACTCGATTGAGTTTTGACTTCACTCAAAACAGCCACAGACCTCTCCAAAATTCCCTTAATTCTTCATAACATCCAGATTATTAAAAGAATCTAGCTCATTGGTTTCATGTGATTATTAGTTATTTAACTTTTTTATCCATGGCTGGACTGGAACTTTCGAAAGTGGGATAATGATGGGATGGTAGAAGTGATGACAGAAACCCTTGCTTGCTAAAACACAGTTTCAAGCTCTTAAACTTCTTTTTCTAATTTTTCTTGGATATGAGACAACGGACCATACAATATAAAAATAACAATCAGACCTTCTACGAAATTAATTAATATGGTAAACCAAAAAATATACTAAGAAGGTGTAACAAGAAAAATATGAAAGAAAAGCACACCTATGATGAGTAAATTTGTTAGAAAAACTGATTATGCTTATAAGTCTTGATATAAACATTTGGTCTTTTCATTTACTTATAAATTGTGTTGATTAAGTTTTACATTTTTCTCTAACACGGTGGCCTTTCTTCTGCCATTTGCTGGTGCACAATCCACATAAACAATGGTGAATTGTGGGTCTGACGTCATATGCCGTTAACAAAGGACAACACATAAAAAATCAAGCTACTTGTAAAGTAAAAATTTATATTATCGAAGAGAAACTCAAGTAGATGAGTATAGAAACACACCTGCACATAAGACATAAACAAATATACTATGTATACGCATTCACACAATCAAATCTTACAAGTCATAAATGATTGATTATATGCACCTTAAATAATTTCTTCACAATTTCTGGAGAGGAGTCCCAAGGTTGCAAACGTATAGGTTTCTTCATCTTGACACTATCTGGGGGGAACTTAACTAGCACATCTGTCAAATCCACAAGCAAATGATGACTGGAAATAATCAGAACATTCCAGGTTTACACAATCATTAGAGCATAACACATAATACTTTTCCTTCCAAAATTACCTTTACAAAGTGAGCAACCAAGCATTCCACAGGCAGCAAAATGATCAGAACACATAAGCAGATCAGTTCCTTCTTGTAGCTCTCTCAATTCTAGCTCTTCATCATCGATTAACATTGAAAAACGATCAACTCCCTCGTCATATGTTGCACTATCCAAAGCAAGTTCACATTTTTCCACCAGTGACTGGTTCTGAGTCACATATTGGTTCAATTCTCCCTGCCAGATAAAAGCAAGTCATAAACTTGCCAAATCATCCAACATTATCCACAAAAATGTATATTCAACCATTTAATTACCACTCGTCTTTGCATGAAAAGTTTCCTCTTATCCTGGATTTTATTTCTCTTATTCTGCATTTTATTTTTTTCAATTCCCTGTTCATAAAAATATAACCTTTGAGATCTATTATTTATTAACCAATATTCACATGCTCATGCATGTATTATAGTAGGAAAACAAACCAACAAAATGAGCATGATATTATGGGTCTAGATAACTTACATTCATAATTACAGTTTCCCGAGACCTGTTGTTCTCATAGACCGGTTTCTGTGCTATGGAATTCGAGATTAGACGAACTTCTCGGTCAGCAAAACCAAAACTCACTGGAAGGCGTCCAGCTTCAGGATTTGTTGCCCTCCAAACTGTCATCAGACCTTTGCCAATACCATGTTTCTTCACAGGTGCTTTCATATTACAATCAGGGTGACTTCGAGTTGCACTCTTGGAAACCTGAGGAAAGAGGACCTGAGACAAATGTAACAGAGAGTAAAAAGAAGCATAAAAAAACTTTCTCCAGAAGCCTTAAGTTACCTTCCTCCTTTTGGTGGGCCCTAGTTCCTCTTGACAAGCAGGAGTGTGCTTTTTGGGTCCTAAGCAATCAAAGACAAAATTGATAAAATAAGTCTAGTTATATAAATTAAAGCGGTCAGCTGCAAAAGATAATCAAAGGTATACTTAGATGAATAGAAGTGGCAAAATGGGAGAAGTAAAAATCAATGTATATTTGCTAGGTACCAGAGCAAAATGGAAGGAACAAAGTTATCAAATACGGATTGCGGCATATCGCGGCCAACCCAAAAAACGCTAGTGTTATAGCGGGTTGCAGTTGCGGAAATAGCGGAGTAGATATATGACAGAAATAATGACAAAAAAAACATTTTTTAAAGAAAGAGACAGCAGAAGTGACAGAGAGAGACGCGGATAGACTAAATTTAGGACAAAATTGACATTTTGCCTTATGTCGGCAGTATGGCCGCAAATGCGATTGCAATGGTTGCTATTGTATTCTGGTGCTGCGCGGCGCGGTTTCTTGCGGCGAGGCACCGCAATGCCAATGCGATGCGGCTAGCGGCGCTATTGCGACGCAATTAACTACTATAGGAAGGAATTATAATGAAGTGACCATTTACCACTTGATTTCCAATTAAGTTCATGTGATTTATTTTCTTCCATAAGAAAGAAAAAGTTAGAGAATATTTTTATAAATTAATAATCAAAACATAATAGATACCAAGTTTAACCCCATTTTTCTATAAATATCATGCATAAGTATGACGTAAGAATAAAAAAACCAAAACCAAAAAGTCACTCCCCGTTTAACCCGACTGGCAAGTGTGGTGGGATGGAGGCAATCCTTGAGAGCTCCCTTACCCTTGCATAATTGCAAATAGGCTGTTTCCTGGATTCGAACCGATGACCTTTATCACTGCTCCGGTTCGCCCCCATGACGTGAGAATAATGAGAATTAAAATAATTTCACTACTTTCCATCTTCACTCCAATCAAAAAAAGGGATGAAGTTAATTCATATACTACAGGCCTCTGTATCACAAGAGTCATATTCCATCTATACAGTATCGCTCTTACCCAAATTGTTTCCTTCGTTATGAGTATTCTCTTCTATTTGAACCGTGAATGAGTAAATTAAGATAATCCCCCTTCCTCTGCCAATTAACATTCAATTTCAACACCAAACAGGACTATTTCTTATCCCTATCTGTTACCATGGTTCAAGGTGTAATATAATAAAAATGAAAAAGAGGATAAAAAATTCAGTAATATAAACCATTACAAGGGAGAGAGAACACACCAGAAGGAAATGAATCAAATTCCTGACCAAGAGAAGGGCCATCCTTCCGTAAAACATTGTTTACAACGTAATCTGCTGTAAACAACTCCTGAAGACATTTACGTTTTTTCTTTTTCCTACCATAAACGGTTGCATCCATGTCGTCACTTGAAGATGAAGAAGCATTGACCTTCTCTCTCTGGTACATCTTTCTAGCAGCAGCAACTGTCAAAACGCTTTTTCCACCATGAGCGCGGAATCCCTCGCGCGAAGAAGAAAACGATGGGACAATCACTCCGTTTTCTCCCTTCTCCGTCATTGTTTTGTACTTTCCATAGCCTTCCATTACTCTACCTTCACTGTTCTATGCTCCTTCTCATCTGCACCACAAAATACATAGTAGGTAGGGATTGGAAGGCACACTAAAAATTAGCGTTCAGAGCAAACACCGAAATGCATGACGAAAAGAATTGAGCAGATTAAAATGCAATATTATGGCGATCAAACACTAAAACTCCGTCAAATTCGATGGATGATAGTTGAGCGTTGTCACGGTTTATGAAGTAGAAAAAACGAAAACAAGAAGAGCGTGAGATAAGAAAAATGGAAATACGAAAGGGAAAAGAGAAGAGTGATTTGCACAGATGCAAGAAATCTACCTCAATTACAGCGACGCCACTGTTTGTGAAGGAATGAAATGACACAGTGAAGAGCTAGTTTGGACAAGAGAAGCAGAGGATAATATGAAGTCACTGAGAAGTAGGGTTTTGGGTTTTACACAAGAAATATCTTTTTCCTTTTACCAAATAACCAACCCCTACCTAGCAAGAATATCAAAATTTATTGGGCTCGATTTCAGTTTCAGCCCATGGTTCATATTGATTTATTTTTCCTTTTCTTCAACGAAATCATCCTATAATCTAACATCTAACTTGATACATTGTATAAAATAAGATTTATGCCCTTGATACATTTTAATCTAACAAAAAGACTGGAGCCCGACAAGAAAAGAAAAACATAAAAATAAAAATTCTACTATATATGCCAACAGCACGCAAACTACCCACAACAGCAAAATCCGTCAGATAAATCAGCTGAATACTTGAAGGAGGCTCTCCACTAGAAACCTATTTCACGTTATAATCACTATTGAAAATAAAATTCGTCATCCAATTTGCACAAGCATTTCTTTCCCTATAAGTGATTATTTTTAACAGTCCAATTTTTACAAATCCATATTCGTATACAAGAGATCAAATGACTCTCACGAGTTGCTACATCATATGCGATGAGCACAGTGACCACACTTGTGGAATCACTTTCTAAGATAAGTTGTTTGAATCGAGCTCTCCAAGCCAACTCCAAGCCTCTAAGCACGCTCGATATCTCTGCTTTGAAAGAACTACAAATTTTCAGCTTGTAGGCGAATCCATTTAGCCAATTACCACGAGAATCACGTATTACTATTATACACACCCGATTGGTAATAGCAAATTACAACAAGATCATCAATATTAAACCTTCAATTATAATGTTCGTGTTTTGACTATGCTAAGAGTTCCTTTTGTTTTAATATTTTTTGAATTATTTTTCCTGGAGTTGACTATTATATTTTCCAAATATCTTATAATATAGTGTGTATCCTTTTTGTTATAAAGATTTATTAGACTAGTGATCAGGGGTAGAGGGAGGGAGGTCCTAAGGTGGGCGGTCGCCTCTCCTAAAATTTGAAATAAAAAAAATCTTTAATATGAGTTGGCAATTTGATAGTTGGAACAGTCTTTAATGTTTACGACAGACAATTTGAGCATCTAGGTTTTGATAAGGCATGTTCATCTTTGTTGATATATATATAAAATTATGGGATATATTTTTCTTATGTTGTAGGAAAGAAATTATCTCATGTTGTAGAAATAAAAGTATGAGTGGGACCCACATCTAAGAGGAGAGAAAAAAATAGTGGTGGGACTCAACTCCTTTTTTATGTGCAGAAAAGTTGTTTATCGCATGTAAAATGATATAAACATAACCCTAGAACTATTAATGTAGCTCACCCAACCGCTTAAGCTTTTGGGTTGAATTGGTTCTTTATACATGAGCGGCAGCGTTGGTTTCCGTAATCGCAATTGAAATTGGTTTGACATCCTGTGTTTTGTTTCATTCTTATTGGGCATGTCCTGGATGTGTTCTTTCCCGTGCTAAAGGGCACAAATCTCTGCCTAAATAGGGCTTCACTCGTTGCCTTGCCATGGATGGTGTCAAAGTGTTTGTATCTGGCTTTGGCACAGTTGAGAAGGTATAGTCGTTGTTGTCCATGTATGAATGTTTCCTTTTTTTTTCTTATTTTATTTACAGAAGTTTGTTGAAGGGAAACCTTGATACAACTGTTGGTGTTGTCGCTATGCGACTTAGAGGTCACTGGTTCAATTTACATAATCAGCCTCTCGTAAGGTAAGACTGCTTATTATAGACTCACACAGTTGGTTTGATCCTGTAAGGACTCGTATAGCAAAAGAATGGGAGGGTAAAGGAGGCTATTTTATGCTAATTAGATAATTTTATCTCTATTAATTGCTTCTAGCTTTGATAAATAAGAATTCTAATGAGAAATGAGCTCCTTCAGTATATTTGATTTTCAACTCCCTCTCCTCCCGAAAAATAAATTCTGGGCCACGGCTAGTGAAAGAGTAAATAAAAAATATTGTAAGAGTAATTCAAAATTTAAAAATGGGTCTATAAGTAATTAGATTTGGAAAACTAACATTTTTTTGTACACCAAAAATAATGAGAATCAAGGGAGAGAACTCATGTTACACGTATTTCATTTAAGTCTGAATCTAATCTAATACAAATATTTGATGAATTTGAGAGGGACGATTGCAAGTTTAGAAAATTGTACATTATATAAATAAATTTTATAATTAAACTATTCTTAAAGAGATTTAGAATTACATGAGACTTAGATGAAACAAACTTTTTTATATTTCGTCTTGTATTGAGTGGATTAATTGCTTAAAATGACTGTAATAATCTCTAAATTTGTTGTAGCTGTAACACTCCAAATTCTAACAATTGATAATAGCATAAATAATTTCAATAATTTTTGTAAATAACAGCGGAAGTTCAAAATAATCAAATTTGAAATATGTCTTATGCATTTATTTAAATCTCATAAAATTTCTAAACTTAGAAACTAGCTAGAAATATAATATCTGAGTCGTGATCCTCGCTGCCCACAGCTAGCCCCATCCTTTGCAACATGCTTCACTGAAAATCTGCTCCCCCGTGAAGGATCATTGCAGTTAAACAAACACAAAAGTCAGCAAAGCTGGTAATCCAAATCCGATATACAAAAATAAATAAATAAACAAAAAGAATGTAACTCATGATAATCCAATAAAATAATATAACTCAAAAATTCGAATCAAATGTCAACTTGTTATTAATTATATTAATATTTATTTAATCCATTTAGTCTATTTAGTGGGAAGAGAACCGTGGTAGACCCGGGGAACCCTGCCAGTCTACCCTGTGACCCGGGAAACCCTGCCAGTCACAAACAAATCACTTTGGCCATAATCAATTCACATCTTCCTAGTGTGCACACCTCTTCCCAAAGTTGCTACTAGTATCCCGGGAAACCCTGCCAGACACCACTTTGGGAAGAACGGATATAATCTTTTTCACATCAGTTTCACATCGGAGGCATAAAGCCCAAAAATTGTGTTCATCACTTTGGGAGGTACCATCCCAAAGCTATCCTCCCACTATTATTATTATTATTATTATTTTAATACAGACATAACAAAATTTCCCAATTTATTTCAAATATATGTAATATCTATTTTCTGCAGCAAACAATTAATTTCCAATTTACCAAAACATATATATATATATTAGTGCCTCAATTTATAAAGTAAAGCACAGAATATAAAAAAAACAATTGAAACTAAATTTATATAACTAATGTATTTGAAATATGTTCATCACGTAAATCGAAAAGTAGAATTGCAATATATGTAACTTGAAAGAAACGATTCAGATGGTAGATGGTGAACATACATCTAATTCAATTGAAAGTGACGCACAAAAATCGAGAAAGGAGATTTTTTTGTTTGTTTTTGTTTTGTGAACTATATTATGTATAAAAGCAACGATAAGTATAATTCGAATTCAATTAAAGAATTACACAGAAATCAAAAGAAATTTGCAACGAAGTGTAACTATGATATATATTTAGGATCATAATTATCCTATCAAAATTCATATAAAATTAACCTAAGACTTCTAAGGATTAGGATTACACATACCAAATTTCACATAAAATAAATATAATCTAAAAATACCTAGGGATTAGGATTACCTGGTCTCCGTTTTCGCTAACTTTTAGAAGAAAAGAGTAATTTGGGGCAGAGAACCGGTTGATAAAAAAATATAAAGATTGAAAATAATTAAAATAAACTTTTTGGAGTGAGAAGAGAAAGAGAGTAGTAGAGGAGAGTGAATTGGTTTGGTTAGGCTAGGTCTCTATTTATAATTGAAGTTTAGGGCTTATACATTACTGACTCAATGCTGACTCATCATATCTAAACAATTTATGTTTGTTGAGTCATCATATCTAAACAATTTATGTTTGTTGACTCATCCTAATCCAATCAAACATTACCAATCAAATAATCAAACATTAAAGCATAATGATCAATCAAATAATAACAATTTATCACCCATTATTATTATTACTAATTTATAATTTATTACTATTATTAATTTATTGTATTATAAATTACTATTATTTTTCTGGGATATTACAGTAGCAATTGACTAGCATGTCGAATTATTGTTAATAAATCCGGACCGATTTGGCTGGGTTAATTCAAGAATCGGTGAAATGGTCATATTTATTATAACCGATTCGACTAAAGCAACGGATCGATCATGCATCGGATCCATTATGACCTGATGTGACCCGACCGATTTTGGTAAAAATCAGTGACCCGACCCAATTTATTTAAAAAAAATTGAAAAAAAAATCATAATTGACATATTTGAGTGATCTGTTGCTTATTGACCTACATAAGTTATGTACCTATAATACTAATATTATCTCAGTTATGCAATATGCAGAGAATTTTAATTTGATTTATAATTAGAGATATCGTTTATTGAACCTTAAACACTAGTATCACAAGCATTATGTGTTTGTTTGATCATTTATTGGATCATAATGTGTAATTTATTTTTATATTAAAATATTTAGAATTGGTATTATTATTTTTAGCTATTTGAATATGTTTTAATTTTTTAATATAAAATTATAAATTTACATATAATTATCAAGTTATACGATTGAACCAATAACTCACTCGTTAAACCAGTAATTCAATGATTCAATAACCGGACGGTTTTAAAAACATTCCGTGAAATATCGGTAGACATATATGCAGTGGTTACTGGTTTGTTCAGATTCTAACTTTAAAGTTCAATAAAAATCTTCAAAGTTAGGGAATGAAATTAACAACAGAATACATCCTATATATTAATTGTATTTTAAAATTTTTTAATGAATTACATAATTATTTAATTTAATTATTCTATTATGATTTCGTCAATACATATTAGGAAAAAATATTTATTCTTTTAAATAATGTAATTTTGTGTTATTTATATATTAACTGTTGATTTTCATCAATTAATGGTTAAGATTTATTAAGTTTTATTTCAAATTATTAATTAATTAATTAATATGATCCAATAAATCTTAAACGTTAATTTAGATCTAAAATGACACAA